TATTTATCTTAAATCAAATTTTTACTGTAAAATTATGTTTCTTCTTAGAATGTGACTTAAGAAATATGTAGATATCTGAAGAAAAATATTGTGAATACATGTAATTGAAGTACATACAACATCAAACAACAAGATCCAAATGATATATGGGAAAATGTTTTACTACAAAATAACTTGTGACCATCTATATCCAGGCATTCACCACGGTGTTATCAAATGTTCAGTCACATGACTAGTCAATCACTAGTCACATGAATAGTCACCTCATCAGTCACATAACTAGTCACCTCATCAGTCACATGACTAGCCACCACACCAGTCACAATACTAGTCACCACATCAGTCACATGACTAGTCATCATATCACATCAGTCACATGACTAGTCACCTCATCAGTCACATAACTAGTCACCTCATCAGTCACATGACTAGTTACCACATCAGTCACATAACAAGTCACCTCATCAGTCACATAACAAGCCACATCACAACTAGTCACCACATCAGTCACATGACTAGTTCATCAGTCACCACCTCATCAGTCACATCACTAGTCACCTCATCAGTCACATGACTAGTCACATCTCATCAGTTACATCACAAGTCACCTCATCAGTCACATGACTAGTTACCACATCAGTCACATGACTAGTCACCTCATCAGTCACATGACTAGTCACATCATCTGTCTCATGTCACATAATCACCTCAACAGGCACACACTAGTCATACTAGTCACCACATCAGTCACATGACTAGTCACCTGATCAGTCACATCACTAGTGAATTACCAGTCACATAACTAGTCACCTCATTAGTCAAATAACTAGTCACCTCATCAGTCACATGACTAGTTACCACATCAGTCACATAACAAGTCACCTCATCAGTCACATAACAAGTCACCTCATCAGTCACATGACTAGCCACCACATCAGTCACAAGACTAGTCACCTCATCAGTCACATGACTAGTCACCTCATCAGTCACATGACTAGTCACCTCATCAGTCACATGACTAGTTACCACATCAGTCACATGACTAGTCACCTCATCAGTCAAATAACTAGTCACCTCATCAGTCACATGACTAGTTACCACATCAGTCACATAACAAGTGACCTCATCAGTCACATGACTAGCCACCACATCAGTCACAAGACTAGTCACCTCATCAGTCACATGACTAGTCACCTCATCAGTCACATGACTAGTCATCTCATCAGTCACATGACTAGTTACCACATCAGTCACATAACTAGTCACCTCATCAGTCACATGACTAGCCACCACACCAGTCACAATACTAGTCACCACATCAGTCACATGACTAGTCACATCACTAGTGAATTATGTGTAACATGACTAGTCATCTCATAAGTTACATGACTAGTCACCTCATCAGTCATATGACTAGTCACCTCATCAGTCATATGACTAGTCACAATATCAGTCACATGACTAGTCACCACATCAGTCTCATCATTAGTCACCTCATCAGTCACATAACTAGCCACATCATCAGTCACATGACTAGTCATCACATCAGTCACATGACTAGTCAATTATCAGCCACATAACTAGTCACCTCATCAGTCACATGACTAGTTACCACAGCAGTCTCATCACTAGTCAGCTCATCAGTCACATCACTAGTCAGCTCATCAGTTACATCACAAGTCACCTCATCAGTCAAATGACTAGTTACCACATCAGTCACATGACTAGTCACCTCATCAGTCACATGACTAGTCACATCATCTGTCTCATGACTAATCACCTCAACAGGCACATGACTAGTCATCTCATCAGTCACATGACTAGTCACCTCATCAGTCACATGACTAGTCACCTCAACAGTCATATGACTAGTCACAATATCAGTCACATGACTAGTCACCACATCAGTCACATAAGTAGCCACCACATCAGTTACAAGACTAGTCACCTCATCAGTCACATGATTAGTTACCACATCCGTCACATAACTAGTCACCTCATTAGTCACAATGACCAGTCCACAAAAGTCACAAGACTACAGACTTCATCAGCCATGTGAGTAGTCACATCACCAGTCACATGACTCGTTACCTCATGAGTCACAATGACCATTCACCATTTACTTCACATATCCATTTATCTCTTCAGTCCAACTGACCAGTCCAACAAGGAACTGCAAAGCAAGGCATTATCCCCTGCACCCAGCTGTTGGTGTAAAACCCAAATATGATCTACATATATATACTGGTAAAACAATTTATGACATCACTCAATTATGTACCGCTACTACAACTGAAGATCTAATACAGTGAAAGCAAGTAGTGCAAAATGTAACATCTTCTTTTGTCAATTATCAATTAAATTTCCTTGCATCTCCTCAACTTCTACATTTCATTTATATATCTAATATATCAACCTTATAATAAAAGTTTATATAATCAACATAAACGGAATACACAACTATTACAAATTCTTTATAAACAACCTCAAAAGTATACAGTTATTATTGGAAGCTAATCTACCTCAAAAGTGTCATCACAAGATAATATACCTTCAAAGTGTCATCACAAGATAATCTACCTCCAGTGTCATCACAAGATAATCTACCTCCAAAGTGTCATCACAAGATAATCTACCTCCAGTGTCATCACAAGATAATCTACCTCCAAAGTGTCATCACAAGATAATATACCTCCAAAGTGTCATCACAAGATAATATACCTTCAAAGTGTCATCACAAGATAATCTACCTCCAGTGTCATCACAAGATAATCTACCTCAAAAGTGTCATCACAAGATAATATACCTTTAAAGTGTCATCACAAGATAATCTACCTCCAGTGTCATCACAAGATAATCTACCTTCAAAAGTGTCATCACAAGATAATCTACCTCAAAAGTGTCATCACAAGATAAAAGTGTCATCACAAGATAATATACCTTCAAAGTGTCATCACAAGATAATCTACCTCAAAAGTGTCATCACAAGATAATATACCTTCAAAGTGTTATCACAAGATAATCTACCTCCAGTGTCATCACAAGATAATCTACCTCAAAAGTGTCATCACAAGATAATCTACCTTAAGTGTCATCACAAGATAATCTACCTCAAAAGTTTCATCACAAGATAATCTACCTCAAAAGTGTCATCACAAGATAATATACCTTCAAAGTGTCATCACAAGATAATCTACCTCAAGTGTCATCGCAAGATAATCTACCTCCAAAGTGTCATCACAAGATAATCTACCTTAAGTGTCATCACAAGATAATCTACCTCAAAAGTTTCATCACAAGATAATCTACCTCAAAACTGTCATCACAAGATAATTTACCTCCAGTGACATCACAAGATAATCTTCTTCAAAAGTGTCATCACAAGATAATCTACCTTAAGTGTCATCACAAGATAATCTACCTCAAAAGTTTCATCACAAGATAATCTACCTCAAAACTGTCATCACAAGATAATCTACCTCCAAAGTGTCATCACAAGATAATCTACTTCAAACGTAAACAGTCTCACAAGAAAATCTTCTTCAAAAGTGTCATCACAAGATAATCTACCTTCAAAGTGTCATCACAAGATAATCTACCTTAAGTTTCATCACAAGATAATCTACCTCAAAACTGTCATCACAAGATAATCTACCTCCAAAGTGTCATCACATGATAATCTACCTCAAAAGTAAACACAGTCATCACAAGATAATCTACCTCCAAAGTGTCATCACAAGATAATCTACTTCAAACGTAAACAGTCTCACAAGAAAATCTTCTTCAAAAGTGTCATCACAAGATAATCTACCTTCAAAGTGTCATCACAAGATAATCTACCTCAAGTGTCATCGCAAGATAATCTACCTCCAAAGTGTCATCACAAGATAATCTACCTTAAGTGTCATCACAAGATAATCTACCTCAAAAGTGTCATCACAAGATAATCTACCTCCAGTGTCATCACAAGATAATCTACTTCAAACGTAAACAGTCTAACAAGAAAATCTTCTTCAAAAGTGTCATCACAAGATAATCTACCTCCAAAGTGTCATCACAAGATAATCTACCTTAAGTGTCATCACAAGATAATCTACCTCAAAAGTTTCATCACAAGATAATCTACCTCAAAACTGTCATCACAAGATAATATACCTTCAAAGTGTCATCACAACATAATCTTCTTCAAAAGTGTCATCACAAGATAATAAACCTTCAAAGTGTCATCACAAGATAATCTACCTCAAAAGTTTCATCACAAGATAATCTACCTCAAAACTGTCATCACAAGATAATCTACCTCCAAAGTGTCATCACAAGATAATCTACCACAAAAGTAAACACAGTCATCACAAGATAATCTACCTCCAAAGTGTCATCACAAGATAATCTACCTCAAGAGTGTCATCACAAGATAATCTACCTCAAAAGTAAACTCAGTCATCACACGATAATCTACCTCAAGAGTGTCATCACAAGATAACCTACCTCCTGTGTCATCACAAGATAATCTACCTCCAGTGACATTACAAGATAATCTACCTCAATAGTGTCATCACAAGATAATCTACCTCAAAAGTAAACTCAGTCATCACACGATAATCTACCTCCAGTGTCATCACAAGATAATCTACCTCCAGTGTCATCACAAGATAATCTACCTCAAAAGTAAACTCAGTCATCACACGATAATCTACCTCCAGTGTCATCACAAGATAATCTACCTCCAGTGACATCACAAGATAATCTACCTCAAAAGTGTCATCACATGATAATCTACTTCAAAAGTAAACACAGTCATCACAAGATAATCTACCTCAAGAGTGTCATCACAAGATAATCTACAGTGTCATCACAAGATAATCTACCTCCAGTGACATCACAAGATAATCTACCTCAAAGATGTAGTTAGTCAACATAATCTTCATTAATTATATTACATTGGGGGTCTGTAGTTTACTTAGTGATGTGCTATTGAAGCATTTCTATAAAGTACTCACCTTCTTGTCGTGTAGATGAAGATATCACTTAGATCACTATGACCTGCATTTGCAAGCTTGACCATCTGTAGTTCCCAGTCCATGGCAGGTTTCTTCAACTGGAACAGAAAATAAAATTGGTTCATTGTACAAATACGGACAAACAGCAATTACCACAGCCTACATGTGATGATGGTGGGCTTATATTTGCCACTTACACATCTTTGTTAGAAAGTTTTCTGAAGTTATTTAGAGGAAAGGATCAAATAATGGAAAAGACACATGTGAGAGTTTTAAGGATCTACAAACGGTGGCGCGAATTCAAAATTTGCTTACCTTAGGTTTATCATGGAGCAGAAACAATACAGAGGCAGCCTTGGCTCCTACTATCTGACCAGCAGAATCACGCCATGTCTGACCAAGCAGGGAGCCCAGGTGGAGCTCACTGTGGTACATAGGACTGTGAACAGACAGAACTTGGTTAAATAAAATCATTATAAGCTCACATTTTTATCATTCCCTTATTTCATTATTACAAAAGTGGTAAGTTGTTACCTATGACCTTTCAACTCTGACCCCAGATCTATAATATATCATAAGTCAGTGTGAATATGAACAAGGACATAGTCATAAAGATCCCCCGCCAATGTTTATTTGTAAAACATATACATTTAAAGTGAGCACAATGGAAAACTGGAAAAGACAGCAGATAATCAGGTCATAGCAGTCTCATTCAATATGCACAAAATTTTTCGATAATCAAACTTGAAAAAGGGATTAAGGTAACAAGTCTACCAGGCAATTCTCATCATTATCCAATTGTTCCTTCAAAACATCACATGGAGAAAGCATTCAGTTAGAGTGCCAAAAGGTATCAGCCAATCAGGTAACAGCAGTCTCATAAAATATCCATAGAATTTGCCGATAATCGAACCTGAACAAGGAATTAAGGTAAACCTACAAAGCAAGTTTCCTAAACATCTTATCATTTCTTCATCAGATAATGTGCAGAAAGGTTTCCCATAGACTGATTAAAGAAATCAGCCAATCAGGTCACAGCAACCTCATTAAATATACATGGAATCCACCGTTCATCAAACTTGAGTAAGGGATTAAGGTAACAAGTGTACCAACCAAGTTTTATCAAAATCTGGCCAGTTCTTCAAAAGATATGCGGAAAACAGCATTAGGACAGACGAACGAAACCCATTTGAATATCGTCCACCAGCTTTGTTAGGTGAGGGATAACTAAATACATAAAACTTACAGTATTATATAGGCTATATCTAAGGTATTATAGAGAAGATAATCAAGTAGAAGAACTTTGGTAATTATTTGAGATAGAGTGCACACCGGCAGTGATTGAATATCAATCAGATTTAACCTTCACAAACGCTGGCTGGTGAAATGGAAAAACAATTAATTTCAGAATTTTAAATGAGAGTTTTAAGGAGACAAATCAATCTGTGTATGGCCCGTATAAAGCTCTGTACTAATCCCTCCCAATACTTAATCAGGGTTTCTTTTTTATACCAGTAAGACAATTTTACCAACATGGTTATCATTATAGCACATATCTGACAGATTTTCCACAGAAATAATTAATCATCTCTCCATCGCTGTACTAAACACACTTGTTTCAAGGTCGTCTTTCTGTAAGTTATCATTTAATCACTAAACTCAAGGACAGCGATAGTCCCTGGGGAACAGTCTGTAGAAACAGCTGTGATCTCACTGTGTTTTGTTTTGATGGAGAAGGCAAGATCTCCACTAGTCAAGGTTTATATTTCTAGTTGATAATTTTTATTGCAGAAACTAACAACAAATAAGCATCATAATAAATATTACCATGAATAGATTTCAATTCTTGTTAAGAAATCTTCACTGTCAACTGAGTAACATAAATCACACAGTAACACTTTACTCTATCTCTTTCTCTGGGTTCACTAACCTCACAATAACATTGTGACCAGTACAGGAAATAGGTTAATAATGCAGAGTACTGAACTCATTATGACCTCTACAGGAACTGGGTCAATGACACTAAATACTGACCTCATGATGACCTCTTTAGAAACTGGGTTAATGAAACTAAGTACTGACCTCATTGTGACATTGTTGATCTTATGAATGATGTCTTCCTGAGTCAATGAATTGATGAGCTCTTCATTATAAAACCAAAGCTCAAGTACACTAGTCACATGACAAACAGGACCCACCCTGGAAAAATAAAGGGAAATAAGTACAATATTTACAAGATATAAGTACATTATTTACAACAGCAAGTAGGTACAATATTTACAAGATATAAGTACATTATTACAACAGCAAGTAGGTACAATATTTACAAGATATAAGTACATTATTACAACAGCAAGTAGGTACATTATTTACAAGATATAAGTTCATTATTACAACAGCAAGTAGGTACAATATTTACAACATATACGTACATTATTTACAACAAGAAATAGTTACAATATTTACAAATATTTACAACATATAAGTACATTATTTACAACAGGAAATAGGTACAATATTTACAAGATATAAATACTTTATTTATAACAGGAAATAAATACAATATTTACAACATATAAGTACATTATCTACAACAGGAAATATATACAATATTTACAAGATATAAGTACATTATTTACAACAGGAAATAGGTACAATATTTACAAGATATAAGTACAATATTTACAACAGGAAATAGGTACAATATTTACAAGATATAAGTACATTATTTACAACAGGAAATACGTGCAATATTTACAAGATATAAGTACAATATTTACAACAGGAAATAGGTACAATATTTACAAGATATAAGTACATTATTTACAAAAGGAAGTAGGTACAATATTTACAAGATATAAATACTTTATTTATAACAGGAAACAGGCATAATATTTACAACTATCTACAGCTACGACCCCTATGCTGAAAATAGGATCAATGCTACAATTCAAAATTTAGTTAATTTTCATTATGTCCATGACAAGATCCTTGTGAACATATTATATACATTCAAAGGACTAAAAAGAGCTACCAATAAAGAGGTATGTCTGAAAACAAACATACTCACCCAACAAGTTGACCAACCCAACAGTTGGACTCACCTAACTAGTGGACCAACCCAACAGGCATACTCACCCAACAAGTGGACCAACCCAACAGGCATACTCACCCAACAAGTTGACCAACCCAACAGTTGGACTCACCCAACTAGTGGACCAACCCAACAGTTGGACTCACCCAACAAGAGGACCAACCCAACAGTTGGACTCACCCAACAAGTTGACCAACCCAACAGTTGGACTCACCCAACTAGTGGACCAACCCAACAGTTGGACTCACCCAACAAGTGGACCAACCCAACAGGCGTACTCACTCAACAAATGGACCAACCAAACAGTTGGATTCACCCAACAAGTGGACAAGCCCAACAGTTGGACTCACCCGACAAGTGAACCAACTCAACAGTTGGACTCATGCAACAGGTGGAGGTGGTCATATCCAAAAGTGGACTCATCCAACACATATACTCACCAAACAGGTGGACATACCCAACAGGTGGACTCACTGAACAGGTAGACTCATCCAACAGGCAGACTCATCCAATAATCGGACTCACAGAACAGGTAGACTCATCCAACAGGTGGATATACCAAACAGGTGGACTCACAGAACAGGTAGACTCATCCAACAGGTGGATATACTAAACAGGTGGACTCACAGAACAGGTAGACTCATCCAACAGATGGACCCACTGAACAGATGGACTCATCCAACAGGTGGACTCACCAAACAGGTGGACTCACCAAACAGGCAGACTCATCCAATAATCGGACTCACAGAACAGGTAGACTCATCCAACAGGTGGATATACCAAACAGGTGGACTCACAGAACAGGTAGACTCATCCAACAGGTGGATATACCAAACAGGTGGACTCACAGAACAGGTAGACTCATCCAACAGGTGGATATACTAAACAGGTGGACTCACTGAACCGGTAGACTCATCCAACAGGTGGATATACTAAACAGGTGGACTCACTGAACAGGTAGACTCATCCAACAGATGGACCCACTGAACAGATGGACTCATCCAACAGGTGGACTCACCAAACAGGTGGACTCACCAAACAGGTGGATTCACACACTGAGTGGACTCATCCAACAGGTGGACTTACCCAACAGGTGGACTCTCACACTGTGTGGCTCACCAAATTTAAACAATGAAGTGACTTCAGTCCTTTTTTACTGTAACAAAATGGCTGTGTTGGAAATTGACACATATTGCAATTTCTTCTAAAACATCCCCCTTCCAGGTAATAAACCCATGCCTTGTAATAAATCCCTATCTGAAAATAAGTCCATGTCTGTTAACAAGTCCATGTCTGGTGATTAGCAATAAGTCCATGTCTGGTAATACGTGTATGTCTAGTAATAAGCTCACATCTGGTAATAAGTCCATGTCTGGTAATAAGCCCATGTCTGATAATACATTCATGTCTGATAATAAACCTATGTCTGATAATACATTCATGTCTGATAATAAACCCATGTCTGGTAATAAGTCAGTGTCTGGTAATAAGTCCATGTCATGTAATAAGTCCATGCCTCCAAAGAAGGACATGTCTGGTAATAAGTCCATGTCTGGTAATAAGTCCATGTCTGGTAATAAGTCACTGTCTGGTAATAAGTCACTGTCTGGTAATAAGTCGACATCTGGTAATAAGCCCATGCTTTGTAATAAGTCCATGTCTGGTAATAAGTCGACATCTGGTAATAAGCCCATGCTTTGTAATAAGTCCATGTCTGGTAATAAGTCCATGTCTGGTAATAAGTCACTGTCTGGTAATAAGTCGACATCTGGTAATAAGCCCATGCTTTGTAATAAGTCCATGTCTGGTAATAAGTCCATGTCTGGTAATAAGTCAATGTCTGGTAATAAGTCAATGTCTGGTAATAAGTCCATGTCTGGTAATAAGTCAATGCTTTGTAATAAGTCTATGTCTGGTAATAAGTCCATGTCTGGTAATAAGTCACTGTCTGGTAATAAGTCGACATCTGGTAATAAGCCCATGCTTTGTAATAAGTCCATGTCTGGTAATAAGTCCATGTCTGGTAATAAGTCCATGTCTGGTAATAAGTCCATGTCTGGTAATAAGTCAATGTCTGGTAATAAGTCCATGTCATGTAATAAGTCCATGTCTGGTAATAAGTCCATGTCTGGTAATAAGTCAATGTCTGGTAATAAGTCAATGCTTTGTAATAAGTCCATGTCTGGTAATAAGTCAATGCTTTGTAATAAGTCCATGTCTGGTAATAAGTCCATGTCTGGTAATAAGTCAATGCTTTGTAATAAGTCCATGTCTGGTAATAAGTCAATGTCTGGTAATAAGTCAATGCTTTGTAATAAGTCTATGTCTGGTAATAAGTCCATGTCTGGTAATAAGTCCATGTCTGGTAATAAGTCACAGTCTGGTAATAATCCAATGTCTGGTAATAAGTCCATCCATATCTGTTCTTGACATTTTATTTTCCTGCAAATATGTCCACCTCTTGAAATGATATCTACATGTCAGGCCTCAGGCTTGTTGCAGTATCAACACAAGTAATACATTTTTATTTGCTTGTTTTATTTTGGTTTTTATTTTCTTGTATTCTTTGAATCATGAAGTGATTTTTATGAATAAGATGAGTAACTTCTGTACTTACCGAAAACACATGGTTTCTAGGTTGTGAGGACCAGTTTCTAATGTGTAAGCAGATTTGTAGAATTCCATCATCTGTAAGGAAATTATCATATTTTTTTGTGTAATTTCAGAATGAGAGGTCTGGTATCATATTTAGCATTTAAATAATAGATGAAACGTGCAACTACATTCCATTATCCATTAGAGTGATTTGTTACCAAAAATTCTATCTGTCATGATAAGTACATTGTATTTCAAAGCTCTGAATATTAAATAACTCATCGAAGTACAAAAAATATATAATAAAAATATAATAAATGAATATCAATGAATACTATATAACTCATTAATATTCAAACACTTTTCTAATTTTCTATAAACTCATGAATATTCAAACACTTTTCTAATTTTCTATAAACTCATGAATATTCAAACACTTTTCTAATTTTTCTATAAACTCATGAATATTTAAACACTTTTCTAATTTTCTATAAACACATGAATATTCAAACATTTTTCTAATTTTCTATAAACTAATGAATATTCAAACACTTTTTAATAAATCACATTTGCGTTTTCCTATGTTTGTTTCTTTTTCTTGGATATTTTTTCATTAATTTCTATCATGAGGATAAGTAGATCAAGTTTTTATGGTAACACACGCAAATTGTTTTTATTTTAAATTTGTCACAACACAATAAAATAATGAACAAAAGATTGAAGAAAACTTCAATATTTTTTTTTAAATCAAAAGGCTTAAAACATGAAAATGTAAACTTAATTAATAAACAACTGCAAAACAAGTTTTTTTTAAACCAATATATCTACTGTTATTGTTCATACAGATGTAAATGTATGAGGGTTCTTAGTACAGGAGGAAACCGGGAGTAACCAAGGAAAACCAGTAGGTTTAGTCAGGTGGTCCCCTACCTTTTCATCTGGAGAATTGAACCTTGGATGATTTGGTGAAAAGCAACTAGTTATCTCTGCGGCACCCAACCATCCAAATATATACAAGAGCTTTCATGTCTGTATGACAAAACTGTCAGACAGATCAGCAACGACAGCTAAAAATGTCTGTGTTGCTCTTTAGCTAACTAAAGATTAAAACAAGGGTAATGGAGAGGTGCTTTCTTTTTTTTTTCAGAACATATTTGAATCATAAATTAAATAGGTAGATTTAAAATATAGAACAGTAAGACAGTTAAAAACACACTCAAATTTGTCTTATTCTATAAAAAGGGAGTAATTCCTATCAAATATGAATTTCAATTCAATGATTCAAGCAAATAGTGACAAAATATCATTTTCTACTCTCTCTGAGGACAGTGACAATAAAATAACAATCTATTTTATTTTATCTTTTTTTTCAAAATTGTGACCAGTTTAGCAATTCTTTATCACATTCAGAAAGTTTTGAAAGAAAAATCTCAACATTCCCTTAAACTTGGGAGACTTTCACAGTAAAAGATATATCAAAAAGTATTACCGCTTTCAGTGATGTTGGTGAGAGGACATTGTTGTTGGTAAGGATGACAGAAGCATAACGAGTGAATGGTGGGAAATTTTCCATCACCCAGTGTTTCTCATTTTGTATTCTTGATGTGGCAGGTACCCACAGTTTCTCTGCTTCGTTTGTCTCTTTGAAGTCCTTCATCCCTATTGCACACAACCCACATACGAGGACACACAGACAGATTGTGAAAACTGGGTGACTTGCAACAGAGTATCCAAGTCTGGAAAATAGAACAAGAGATCCAGAGGGCCTGTGTATCACTCACATATTTGATAAAGCATTCCTAAAGAAAATTCTCATAAAAACAAACATATCCTGTAAAAGGTAGCCAGCAATGAAAACAAAAATTTACAAGAAAAATCATTAGATAACGTCTTCAAAACGTGACCTGTGAATTACACTTTGTACAGCTAACACTATCTGTGTATTACACTATGTACAGGTAACACTATCTGTGTATTACACTATGTACAGGTAACACTGTGTATTACACTATGTACAGGTTACACTGTGTATTACACTATGTACAGCTAACACTATCTGTGAATTACACTATGTACAGGTAACACTATCTGTGTATTACACTATGTACAGGTAACACTATCTGTGTATTACACTATGTACAGGTAACACTATCTGTGTATTACACTATGTACAGGTAACACTATCTGTGTATTACACTATGTACAGGTAACACTATCTGTGTATTACACTATGTACAGGTAACACTATCTGTGTATTACACTATGTACAGGTAACACTATCTGTGTATTACACTATGTACAGGTAACACTGTCAATATAATATGTACAGGTAACACTGTGCATTACACTATGTACAGGTTACACTGTGCATTACACTATGTACAGGTTACACTGTGCATTACACTATGTACAGGTAACACTGTGCATTACACTATGTACAGGTAACACTGTGCATTACACTATGTACAGGTAACACTGTGTATTACACTATGTACAGGTAACACTATCTGTGTATTACACTATGTACAGGTAACACTGTGTATTACACTATGTGCAGGTAACACTATCTGTGTATTACACTATGTACAGATAATACTGTGCATTACACTATGTACAGGTAACACTGTGTACTACACTATGTACAGGTAATACTATCTGTGTATTACACTATGTACAAGTAACACTATCTGTGTATTACACTATGTACAGGTAACACTATCTGTGTATTACACTATGTACAGGTAACACTGTGTATTACACTATGTACAGGTAACACTGTGCATTACACTATGTACAGGTAACACTGTATATTACACTATGTACAGGTAACACTATCTGTGTATTACACTATGTACATGTTACACTGTGTATTACACTATGTACAGGTAACACTGTGTATTACACTATGTACAGGTAACACTATCTGTGTATTACACTATGTACAGGTAACACTGTGTATTACACTATGTACAGGTAACACTGTGTATTAAACTATGTACAGGTAACACTATTTGTGTATTACACTATGTACAGGTTACACTGTGTATTACACTATGTACAGGTAACACTGTGTATTACACTATGTACAGGTAACACTATCTGTGTATTACACTATGTACAGGTTACACTGTGTATTAGGTATCTTCTCACTTAGCCAACATTTTGATTTTTTGGTTATACAGGTAAAGGTATTTTGTCGGCCAGGTAAGACTAGGTGTGAAAGGTAGAACAATAGGAGATAATTACAGGTTAGACTTCATCAGACTTCCTACTTCAAGAGGAAAATAACTCTGGATATTCAAGAATTACATGTATTTTTATTTCACATTGAATGCATTTACAGTATTAACTTACTTATATACCCTATATATAAGAAACATAGCTACTATTTTTAAATTATAGAAAAACATAATAATATCACAAAGTACACATATAGCTACTATTTTTCAACTATTTCAATTATTTATGTATATGCACATATATAGACACATAAAGTAGCTAGATTTCAAATGTCCTTTTGAATAGGAGTATTATAATGTTCTGTGCATCCTCTATATCATGAATTAAAATCACCTATTGATAATTCAATGGTAAAGGCTTATGATTTGTATAACTGATACACTATATACGTGAAGGAAAAAGGTGTTCCCATACAAAAGGAAATCAATTAATTCAATTTGGTACTGGAATGTTTTTTCACAGCAGAATTTTCCATAACAGATATTTCTTTTTTTATGCAAAACATGCAGTTTATTTCACTATTTTACTATAAATGAAGTAGATGGGAAGCAGAATCAGCATAACCGAGCACATCAATTTGTCCATTTCTGTACTGGTTCTTTAATTGACTAAGGCGAGAGTCTTTGTGGCAGTATTTCCTCTTCTTTGATCTTGGTTTACCTCCTGTCGAAAGTTGGATCATCTTTGCTTCATCGGTAGTCTTAATTTTCTTCAGAAGCTGAACAGCCGCAAAGATGTTTGGGTGCGCATGCTGACAGAGCTTGTTGACCTTGCTGTGCCATCCCTCAACATGATTTGTTGTCCATGGGCCCTCATTGTCATAGTGGTTCCACAAAGCTACAATCTGTCCAGCAACCCACGTTTCTGTATAATAGTCCTTAAATCGTGTACATCCTCCACTTGATCATTGGGCACTAACGGAAGCACAGCTGTGCGTCTCACTAGAGTTTTTATTTCGTCATCCTGGCGATAGCGTCCAGCCAGTCCAGAGGAAATCTCTCTCCTGCTAGGGTTTCCGTCCAGGCGCCCTGTAAGTCCACTTCTTGTTGTGTAGATGGAAGTGTTGGCAAAGTCTTTAGACGTGATCTGTAGAGGGATGCTTTACAACTCTCAAATGTCGGAATCTTTGAAATCATCTCACCAACATCATCATCAAAATCTCTATCACGCAGATTTCCTAATGCCTTGTCGAAGATAGTAGGAATAGGACAAACTTCTTCAGGACAACGTTGTTTAACACCATCGGGAAACACATCCGCTACCAGTTTGATGGTATCCCCGGGATGGTCAAAGATCTTTCCAAAGGTAACTGGAATGTTGTTTAGTGTTGTAATAGTGGCCGGGCACGGTCTCTGTACACATCTCCAATAAACTCTATCGTTATGTCTGGTCCTGACGAAAAACTTGTAGCCTTCATGAAGAAGATAGTATCCACCCCTTCCATTTTCTATGAAGTTGATGTTAACTTGTGCATTAGCCATCATGGAATATGAACGATTGGAAAATGTGAAAATTAGTGCAAGACCTTTGATATGTTTTGTTTTAATTCCAACCCACCCAAGCCGAGAAGAAATGGTAACACCCATCAAAACTGTTATGTCTTCTTTCATCACATCCATGTTTTAATTAATATGAGTTACAACAACACTAGTATATAAGGTAAACATTTAGGTACACAATTACCATTATTTCACGAACAGACTATTAAATGATAAAACAACATTTCAGCAATTAATGTTAACAATATCTAATTATATTCATCAATTCTATCAATTATATAAGTGATTAACAGAAGACACAACAACATCTAATAGGATATTATATATTTTAGAATTACTGGTAGCAGGGAATATATTTTTTTGCGTTTTCAGTTATAAATCTGTCATTTTGAAAAAAAAAATTATTGAAACACTTGTAAATAGATTTCCTATTGATATCACAATTTAAACTCTTGAGATTAAGATTTTAGAATATATTACATAATGCATGTAGATTTTAGTACATATATATTAAGTTATTGCAGCAAACACTTAAGAATTAAATATGATTTCCTACATGAATTGATTTAAATCTTTATTTTATAGACCATATTCAACTTGTCATTTTCTATATTTTCTGTCAAGGAAAGCAGGAACTCACTATAGCTTAAAATCACTCAAGTGTAAAATTTGACATGTTGGCCAGGTAGTACAGGTAAATTTCAGAATGTTGGCTAAGTGAGAATGAACTGTGTATTACAATATGTACAGGTAACACTATTTCTACCTGTTAACACCTGGGGAAGTTTAAATATCTAGAGTTATTTCCCTTCTTAAAAGGATTCTCATTGGTTGATCGTTTGTGAAGTCAATTCCGCCACCAGACACATATTCCTTGGTAGTGTTTATGAAGATTACATTAAATCGGCTATATCTGTTTAATAATTTGAGATATGAAGGTCAAGCAGATCTATACACAATGGAGTCGTAGTCTAATTTTGATCAACTTATGTTATACTGACGTAATGTTCTGATGAAATAATGTTGTCCGTCACTTGTCTATCTTTACTGAAACATTCTGTAAAGAACGATAAATTCATCTCAAACTCCATTTAAAATTAAAGCACTGCCAACTTTCATTATGTCTGTTAATTCATAATCATACTTTGGAGAAATCATTTTTGCAATGTTATTGTTGTCAGGTACTTGTTCATGAATCCATGCAAACAATGATTTTGATAAAGAAAGTGAGATCTAACACCCTGCAGAAAATCTTCTAAAAGTGTAATAATCTTCTGGAGATGGATTTCTAATGGAATACAGAGTCCAGTTCTGAAACAGTAATCGAAGTTAAGGCTAGATATGACCAGACATTATCTGTTGGTGACAAATGAATATTGATACATGAACTCAAAAATACTTTCCTTTACCACATAACATTAATTAATTATACTTGATAAGGGTGTCTGTGCCTTTTTTTCAGGAAAATTTCTCAGCGGAGTGTCCATTTGCGTTCAGAAATGTTAAAAAAAATTACTACATCTACCTTTTTATTCAGAATATATGAATAGACCTATACTGCACTGTGGACATTGAAATCAGGCCTGATTTAAATGTCCAGGGCTAGTGCTGTCATAGTAATCATACATCATCAGTAATAAGTAAATAATGGACGCAGGCAAAACTAATGCCTCTATATCCATATCTAAAGTTATATGATGATCAGGAGATGTTTCCTATAAAAAGTCTAATATTCTCAGTTATTACATATGTATAGCCAATCAAATCAGGAGATGTTTCCTATAAAAAGTCTAATATTCTCAGTTATTACATATGTATAGCCAATCAAATCAGGAGATGTTTCCTTTAAAAAGTCTAATATTCTCAGTTATTACATATGTATAGCCAATCAAATCAGGAGATGTTTCCTATAAAAAGTCTAATATTCTCAGTTATTACATATGTATAGCCAGTCAAATCAGGAGATGTTTCCTTTAAAAAGTCGTTTCTTATTCCTACAGAGGAAAGTTGGCTATGATTTCTTATTTTTCTGATATTTTTAAAGATTCCTTTCTTCGGTTGTTGCGACTCAAAACGAACTAGAATAGGCTGGCTGTTATTGGTTATGTCACTGGACTCTGGTCTATTTCCCAATTGTATAATTTTTCTAGGCCTATCTTTGATTGACACGCAACAGACTTCTAATAAATTTCCTACAACTTTAGCATCTTCTTCCATCTTCTTTCCGTCATGATGGGACTGTTCCAGAACTCCAAATAGAATTCTGTTGTTTTCCCTCTCTGCTCGCTCTTTAATTTCAGCAACTATTTCGTCTTTGCTTGGTGCAGATTTCTCAGATTTCAAGTTCATTTCCATTTTAGCGATTAACCCTTTTACCTCACTTTCAAGTTCCACAATTCTATCTTCAAATTCTTGCGTGATTTGCCTACACCTCTCTTCTATTTTTCTGTCCATGAGAATATTCTTTTCGACTGTCATTCTGCATGGTGGACAAAACCATATTGTATCTGATTTTGATAGGATGTCATATGTCTTTGAATCAAAATCAAGACATCTGATGCAGAAAATGATGTAATGGTAACATTGTGTTTATATATCTAACAGATTGCACAGTAACGACCCCTCAGAATAACTCATATTCATGGCCGTGTCTCAGAAAGATGTAAGAAATCGTGTACTTAGCCGGTTGTCTGTACTGTGACATAAGTAAATGACGTACAAGCATCCTTAATATATTACTTGGCCAGGTCTAATGTTATCCCTACAGCCCGGTATTTTCAAACAATCTCCCAAGGAGAAAACCATAACCTATCCGTCTATCCACCATTCCACGGAACCGATTTAATTTTCGAAGTTGAGTTTCCCGTGTAAGATGACAATAACAAAGTGCACTCACCTGTAAAACGCTTTTTCCAACAGGCTGATAAATCTGTTACTCAGTATCTGAAGACAGGAATTTTTCCGGGGTTTGGTTTCAGACACGATTTCGGCGGCAGTGGAAGCATCCATGTTTTCAGCGTCCTCGATAAATACTGTTCGGGAAGGTAGGTTTATGTCATCATCTCTACGTTGAGTCCATTTATTGGCATTCGGGAGAGAGGTAGCCGACCTTACCCCTGACACGTTTTGTTGACAATCTGCTGTGAGGTGTCTCCTCAAATTCATACCCAATAATAAGGTTCCGTTAGACTATGTACTTACACTACACTGGTGTAGGGCACGCGCGCCAGAGCGCGTCAACTACCCTCTCCCCTCTCCTTTCCATGAAATATATGTTCATTTAAAAATATAAACATTTAAGAATAGTTTACAGTATCAATGATAGATTTCACCTTATTGTCTAACAAGAGGCCCAATGGGTATGTAGCACTCACATGCAATATATATACCATGTGAGTGCTGCATACCCATTGGGCCCCTTATATATATATATATATATACAAGCCAAATATCATGCCTCTAGGCGTTTTAATTAACGAGAAGAAGGCATTCAAACGTTTTAACAAACTTGACCCGCGTGACCTTTAATATAAGTCAAGGTCATTTCAGGCTTCATCATAAGAGCATACCACCCAAATACTATGCCTCTAGGCCTATTCGTTTATGAGCAGAAGTTCTTTAAATGATTTAAAAAAATGACCCCTGTAACACAGAATATAATTCAAGGTCATTTCGTTTTGCAAACTTTATCGAGATTCATACTACGAACATACCAGCCAAATATCATACCTCTACGTTATTTAATTCATGAAAAGAAGTCATTTAAATGTTTTAACAAATATGGCTCCTGTGACCTTGGATGTAGGTCAAGGTCACTTCTTTTCGCAAACTTTGTCTGGTTTCACCCTAGAAATATTCAAGCCAAATATCATGCTTTCAGGTCTTTTAGTTCATGAGAAGAAGTCGATTAAAGGTGTTTTTTGTTTGTTTTTTAATTTGACCCATGTTAATTAGAATATAGGTCAAGGTAATTTCTTTTCGCAAACTTTGTTAGGTTTCATTGTGGGAACATACCAGCCAAATATCATGCATCTATGCCTTTTAGTTCCAGGAAAGAACTTGCGTTTTAACAAATTTGACCCTTGTGATCTTGATTATTAATGAAGTTAATTTCTTTTCGCAAAAGTTGTCAGGTTTCATACTGGGAACATTCCAACTAAATATCATATTCTTTAAGGCCTTTTAGTTCATGAGAAGAAATCGTTTAAAGCTTTTAACAAATCTGACCCCTGTGAACTTGAATATGGGTCAAGGTCATTTCTTTTCGGGTAACCTCTTAGGACGGCGCGCCACGGCATAAACTCACTTGGCCCTCCATAACATAATGAATGAGACCTTAAGATGACATACTAACAAGTCTTTATAGATTTTTTTAAAAAAAAAACTAAACCGTTTTTTTTCAAGTCATACAGTAATCGATGGACAGAATATAAAACGGCGACCTTTTACGTGGCAACTGCAAACAGCCGACCGTGACTGTAAGATGAGTGTAAAAATTACTTATATACATGTTTATTTCTGTATTTAATTTTTCCTCCATTTTGTTATAATTATCATTTGTGTTGCCGAGGGGATTTTTTGTTGTGTGTGGTGCCAAGGGAAAATGTATTGCGTGTAATGCCGAGGAAATTTGCATTGTGTGCGATACCGAGGGTATTTGTGTGTGATACCGAGGGGATTTGTGTTGTGTGTGATACCGAGGGGATTTGTGTTGTTTGTGATGCCGAGGGGATTTGTGTTGTTTGTGATGCCGAGGGCATTTGTGTTGTTTGTGATGCCAAGGGGACTTGTATTGTTTGTGACGCCGAGGGGATTTCTGTTGTTTGTGATGCCGATGGGCTTTGTGTTGTTTGTGATGCCGAGGGGATTTGTGTTGTTTGTGATGCCGAAGGGTTTTGTATTGTTTGTGATGCCGAGGGAATTTGTGTTGTTTGTGATGCCGAGGGGATTTGTGTTGTTTGTGATGTCGAGGGGTTTTGTGTTGTTTGAGATGCCGAGGGGATTTGTGTTGTTTGTGATGCCGAGGGGTTTTGTGTTGTTTGTGATGCCGAGGGGATTTGTGTTGTTTGTGATGCCGAGGGGTTTTGTGTTGTTTGTGATGCCGATGGGCTTTGTGTTGTTTGTGATGCAGAGGGGATTTGTGTTGTTTGTGATGTAGAAGGGATTGTGTTGTATGTAATGTAGAGGGGAATAGTATTGTTTGTAAGGTAAAGGGGATAAATACAGCATTTGCATTGGTTGTGAAGAGGGAATTTGTACTTTTTGTGAAGCAGAGGGAATTTCTACTTTTTGTGATGCCTTCAAATCGGCATCGTTTATGATAACAAGAGAATAAGGACAGACACGCTGATTCCAGTATACCCCCAGTTATAGGCTATAGGACAGACACGCTGATTCCAGTATACCCCCAGTTATGTTATAGGACAGGCTCGCTGATTCCAGTATACCCACAGTTATAGGACAGACACGCTGATTCCAGTATACCCCCAGTTATAGATTATAGGACAGACACGTTGATTCCAGTATGCCCACAGTTATAGGCTATAGGACAGACATGCTGATTCCAATATACCCCCAGTTATAGGTTATAGGACAGGCTCGCTGATTCCAGTATACCCACAGTTATAGGCTATAGGACAGACATGCTGATTCCAATATACCCCCAGTTATAGGTTATAGGACAGACACGCTGATTCCAGTATACCCACAGTTATAGGTTATAGGACAGACACGCTGATTCCCGTATACCCCCAGTTATAGGTTATAGGACAGACACGTTGATTCCAGTATACCCACGGTTATAGGACAGACACGCTGATTCCAGTATACACCCAGTTATAGGTAATAGGACAGACACGCTGATTCCAGTATACCTACAGTTATAGGACAGACACGCTGATTCCAGTATACCCCTAGTTATAGGTTATAGGACAGACACACTGATTCCAGTACACCCACAGTTTTAGGACAAACACGATGATTCCAGTATACCCACAGTTATAGGCTATAGGACAGACATGCTGATTCCAATATACCCCCAGTTATAGGTAATAGGACAGACACGCTGATTCCAGTATACCTACAGTTATAGGACAGACACGCTGATTCCAGTATACCCCTAGTTATAGGTTATAGGACAGACACACTGATTCCAGTACACCCACAGTTTTAGGACAAACACGATGATTCCAGTATACCCACAGTTATAGGACAGACACGCTGATTCCAGTATACCCCCAGTTATAGGTTATAGGACAGACATGCTGATTCCAGTACACCCACAGTTTTAGGACAAACACGCTGATTCCAGTATACCCACAGTTATAGGACAGACACGCTGATTCCAGTATACCCCCAGTTATAGGTTATAGGACAGACACGCTGATTCCAGTATACCCCCAGTTATAGGTTATAGGACAGACACGCTGATTCCAGTATACCCACAGTTATAGGACAGACACGCTGATTCCAGTATACCTACAGTTACAGGACAGACACGCTGATTCCAGTATACCCACAGTTTTAGGTTTTGGACTGACGAAAATGCCACATTAACATCAAATGATAACTAGGGATACTTTCTGCTTCTTGGCACCCTATCAGTCATGCAGGCTAACACATCACCTCCGACCCACAGTAAGGACGTAGCTCCATTAATTACACATCACCTGGGCCACCTAGTACGGAGATTGGACCGATAATTACACATCACCTGGGACAATAATTACACATCACCTGGGACATAGAGGGGAGGTATGACCACTAATTACTCATTACCTCAGACTCATGGTGGGGAGGTATGGCCGCTAATAACACATCACCTCAGACTCCTGGTTGGTAGGTATGACCATTAATTTACACATTACCTCAGATTATGGTATGTAGATTGGGCCATCAATTACACATTACCTCAGACTCATTGTAGGGAGGTAGGGCTGTTAATTACAAATCACCTCAGACACATGAACATTAATTACACATCATCCTTGACTCCTGGTTGGGAGGTATGACCATTAATTACACATCACCTCAGACTCCTGGTTGGGAGGTATGAACACTAATTACACATCACCCTAGACTCCTGTTTGGGAGGTGTGACCATTAATTACACATTACCTCAGACTCTTGGTAGGGAGGTATGGCCACTAATTACACATCACCGTGGTCTCATGGTAGGGCCATTAATTACACATCACCTGGGACACATAGTGGGGAGGTATGACCAATAATTACACATTATCTCAGACTCGTGGTGGGGAGGTATGGCCACTAATTACACATCAGTTCAGACTAATGGTAGGGAGATAGGGCTGTTAATTACAAATCTCCTCAGACACAAGGAAGGGAGGCATGGCCACTAATTACAAATCACCTCACTCATGGTAGGGGGGTAGGGCTGTTAATTACAAATCTCCTCAGACACATGGTAGGGAGGTATGGCCACTAATTACACATCACCTCAGACTCATGGTAGGAAGGCATGGCCACTAATTACACATCACCTCAGACTCCTGGTAGGGAGATATGGCCACTAATTACACATCACCTCAGACTCCTGGTAGGGAGATATGGCCACTAATTACACATCACCTCTAACTGATTACAGAAAGTATGAGAACTTCAAAAACATAACACAAGACAATTTTAAAGTTGTTACATTTTAATTCCATGCATGCAGATTTAAAACTCTTATAGTATGTACATATGGTGTAGATAATGTTAGCACAGATGTCCAAATCTAGTAGCTTAATAACAAATAATGATGTCAAGTCTAAAATTGATCAGAAAAATTAATGCAGTGAATTACGGCTTCAGATCAAGAACTGTCCCCTTAAATAAATGGAAATGTGTTTATTACATTACTGCACAAAGGTTCACACGACAACATTACAGAAACTACGTACGTGGTTAAAGAACTTGGAGCAGACTGAAAAATATCCTACAATACATTTTATTACAAAATAATTTATTTACTATTTATAATCATAAATAATGTAAAAAGAAAAAAATAAAATAAAACCCTTCTCATTATTTTCTTTATTATAACAATACTTCTCATTAGAATGGATGTTTGCACTCTTTAAGTTACTTACTATATAATAATAACTGCATCTAACAGCATACAATTGAAAGACTTACAAAACACCTATCATAAAATCAAAAATACAACAACAATAATAATAATATAACTTCAAAAAAAAAAAAAAAAAATAATAATAAAAAAATTCCCAGATTATAATAACATCACACGTTAAAAACACCTATAGTAGATCACAGATTGCAATACACAAGGACCTGCTAAGGTGTGCGGCTGTCGGGAACTCCTGTAGTACACAAGGCCGGCAACACCTCGTTTACAAGCTCCAGAAGCTAATCTGTAATTGGGATCATTGTACAATTTTCTTGTCATTTGGTGTAACACTTGTAGAAAAAAAAGGACAGAACTAGAACGTACACTTCACTGATCAATTCTCTATCTCAATTACTTTTGTATTCCATAATTAACCCAATCCATGACTCCACAGCCCCATTTCTTTTCTTAGTCCATCAAACATAAATAAATAAAAAAATACCTATCATTTACAAATATATATACAAAATATCACATTTTAAAAATACCCACTAAAATTGTGCTTCCACATATTCATTGGAATTGTTCAGTGATCCCAATTACGATCTTTGGTGACAAAAAGTCATGTGACTTCGGAACTGAAATTGAAGCATGTGTGAGTTGTGTACGTTGTTATTAAACACATATTTCACGGCTTCATTGTGTTATTTACAAAGTTCATCAGAGGCTAAGAATAGTTCTGTATGTTGTCGGTCGACCAGTCCAGGTCCGACCTCTACTGGTGGTGCTGTAGGACACAGAACTATCATGAACTTTCATAGAAAGGTGGTATTCACCTTAAGTACATATGTACGTCTAACGCTTCGAGCGTGGTGGATGCAGGGCTTGATTAACTTTTAACTCCTGCTAATATTCTGCCCCCAGTCCCAGGAGCATCGAAACATCTCCTCCTTCATTGGGCAGAATTTTCTCCTATATCAAGTCGCTTATGTTGGGTTTAGGTAGCGTGTACAATCAGTGACAGTAGCGGTTATATTAGCATTGTAGATGATCGGTCAATGAGTGACCGGTCTGAAGATGGACAGAGTAGAAAGGACAGAATAGTGACCTGGACAGCCCAGGTTTTAATAGTCAACACACATTGACATGACAGGTGACACACAACTTCATTTACCAGTTGTAGGACATTTTCTCCTAGACTACTTACTACGAAACAGCAAATGAGTTATCTGCATATTAAAACTTCATTCAACTGGTCTCTTTAACGGAAATGAAAGCATCATTACGTCTTCTCATCATTAATTTCATTTTTTACTCTTCAAAATTACAATTTGTGATTTTATGAAAAGGAAACAAAATTGGAGATATGGTTCAACATTTTTAGGTCTTCTGAAATTCAGCAATTTTTTTTTCAAATGTTATAAACTAAATGTTCCTGAAGATTTGCTTCATAAAGACAAAATGCGTTTCATATCTAACAAACCATCCATTTTTCACACAACTGAATATTTAGATCTCGTATTTTCATGCGCTAATACATCAAACATTTCAAAAAGACGGTGATATTTGTTTAATTATTTGTTAAAAATCATCTGGATAATAAAGGGTACTTTTTTGAGGATAAATAGACAGAAATATGTCAAGGTGTCAGTGAGACAGCCAGATCCTGCACATGTACACAGGATGACACTAACAAAATGAGAATGCAGTCTGCAAGCTATCAACAAAAGCGCTAGGTCTCCAAGCTCATCATGTTCATCGAAAGAAGACTTTTAATTTGGAACAAGGAAATCAATTTTCTTAAAGGTAATAATCATTTTGAAACTCTCATTTAAACAGTTGCTTTTCAACTGATTGAGGAGCAACAAAAAACACTCCCTAATAAACAGCTGATATAACAGTTATTCAAATTCAGTCCAATGCTGAAAATAGAGAAAAACAAGTGATTTTAGAGTCCTCTTAGACGAGACACAATCAGCTGCAGAAGGTTCCTATGCCCTCTTTAAGTTTTACTCTACTGCTAAACTTCAGAAGAAAAATACTGATGCTATGACATGTACTGGACATGGGTCTCTAGGAGTATCACAAAACTCTGTCTGGCCATGCAATACTCTACTGAAACCACAGTTACCTAACAATCCCGGTGACAAATCTGTCGGACACGGATGTACTGTAATATGATGTATAAATACTCGACATAGCCCTCCCCTTGACGCGACCCTCCCTCCGCGATGGATACATTGGTGCTGCGGTACAGCTGGGCATGCTGAATGGCTGGGATGTTCCCTAGCTCCCTGCCCTACTGATCCCGCGAGCTGACGGCTACAGAGGCCCCCCTCTGAGCTGGCCCTCCCATTTCGCGATGCCAACCCCTTTGTGTGTGGCCCCAGTGTGCCTGGGCATAGGATTTGCCCGGATAGCACATTCCCTTTTCCCCTTGCCTGAAAAGAAGAATGAAGAGTTTATCAATCATCTACACCTCATAACAAAAGTTCTCATTTACAACAGGCAACTTTTAACATAATTCAGTCTTATTTTACTGATGTTCATTTAAAGATATTTTGATATTTTACTTTAAGGGTCAATAAATTTCTGATGTTCATATAAACCTGATGGACAAATACATGAAAATGTTGATTTTTAGAGAATATAACCTCTGTACTCGCCTGTTTGGAGACAGTTCACACTGCGTAGTGGACAGCCAGGCGTTCCCTCAGTGGCTGAGGAAACTGGTCGGAAAACTTGGTCCAGTTTTCCTCTCCCACCTGGTTCTTAAAGCCATGTAGGATCTAAAAAAGAAATGATATGCTCTAATTTCATTAATTTATGACAAAATAGGAGATTATTACAGGACAATGAAATACCATTGGGATCATTATTTGATTGCACAGCAATACATATGAATAGGCTTTTTGTCTGATAAATGCAGTATCTATTTCGATTTCTTTACAAGCGGTTAGGTGACAATATATTCTGCAATGACAAGTTAAAAATATCTGATTAATCTTGAGGGCCTAATATTTCACAGCTGACCAGGTTTGGGCTAATTCACTGGTATGTCAATAAACCCAGGCATAACAGACATTTTCACTCACTGTAGAAATGTTTGCTGGGTATTTAATTTGAAGTTGCCTTGATAATGAAACTAGTGAAATTCCATCTTGCAAATATCACCCACTATATGGTACAAGCTGTTGAAAGTTGCTCTCACTTCTATTTTGCCTCCTGAGCAGATAGTTTTGTATCTGTTGTCAAGTGCTGACACTTAACTCCAATGTATCCTCAGTTAACCATTCACAAACAATTGAGCTCTTAATTTGCAAGCAAAACTGTATATGGAGAACTGTTGCTGCAGCTTAAATTCCACTCATTTGGCCCGTATGTCAAATAAAGTGAGAATGGTGGCTGAAGTTTTTTTGAAGACATAGCCAAAATATATCATTTTATGCTTTAAGGACAAATAGAACACAACAACTATAATTAGTGGGGGTGGATATTTCCCTATTTACAGGAAACTCTCTTAATATCTAAGATTGCTGAAACTAAGCTTTGCCAACAAACATAATTATTTTGTTAGCAGCAGTTACATAAAGGCAAGTGTTTTATTGAAGAAATGTCACCTGTTCATAGTCAGCCACAGTTACTTCCCCTAGGAAGGTATTGCAAATCATTCCTTGATAATAGCAAAGTTTGACAACTAGAACTAAATTTTGTATTGTTTTTAAATGTATGAATCTCTATAAAGCACACCTTAAGTTATTGCCTAGGTATTCTAATTCCTAGGATATTTAGGCAACCAGCCTTCTCAGAATTTTACTAATTTCAACAAGAATTGACTATCTATCAACTTCTGGTTCTATACCTTGTAGAACATGTCTTTCAGATCGGCCTTCGGTTGTGACCATGAGGCCACGGCATCACAGAAGAAAATGAAGTCCTGCACGACTCCTCCTGGATTAACATTGATCATGTGACACACGCCACGGAAAGCGGAGTCCTTCTCTTCATTATCACGAATGTTACGCAGGGACGTACACCTGTAGAGCAGAGTACCATAATAACAATACCACACTTACTAAATAGGCCAAGCAGTAAAACCAAATTCTGTTCAAGTGAATATTTACATCACTCAGAACTTTAACAAAAAGTAATACCAAAACTTTGCCACTATAGAAGTATTGCAATAAACTATTTACACAAAACATGCAAGTGGAATACTTCAAGTTTGCAGACAGACAAAATTTTCTAAAGATCAACCAAATATACGTATCAGTTAATGACATTGGCCAAAATTAATGCAGTAATTTTATGGTATCCAGCAGTTAATTTCATGCAAACTGATTTATCCCCTGGCTTCTAAGGTATCAACTTCAGATAAAAACTACCTAGGAGAAACTTGAAGCTTTTTCTAAAACTGAAAAGCTTTTCACCAGATTCAAATGTAAGGAAGTCTACATATGTGTCACTCTATATCATGTATATTATATCCAAATAACATTCCAAGACTGAACTTTGAATATGACTGCAAGACAGCAAAATCTATGAATTCATCAGTCTGAACTTTGAATTTAATATGACTGCAAGACAGCAAAATCTATGAATTCATCAGTAATTCTTGAGACTGCAGTATTGAAATGACTCACCCTTACTTGATGCTGTACTACTGAAATGACTCAGCCTTACTTGAGACTGTACTACTGAAATGACTCAGCCTTACTTGAGGCTGTACTACTGAAATGACTCAGCTTTACTTGAGACTGTACTATTGAAATGACTCAGCCTTACTTGAGACTGTAGTACCGAAATGACTCAGCCTTACATGAGACTGTATTATTGAAATGACTCACCCTTAGCTGAGACTGTACTATTGAAATGACTCACTCTCTTACTTGAAACTGTACTATTGAAATGACTCACTCTTACTTGAAACTGTACAATTGAAGTGACTCAGCCTTACTTGAGGTTGTACTACTGAAATGACTCGCTCTTACTTGAGACTGTACTACTGAAATGACTCACTCACTCTTACTTGAGACTGTACTATTGAAATGACTCACCCTTACTTGATGCTGTAGTACCGAAATGACTCAGCCTTACACGAGACTGTATTATTGAAATGACTCACCCTTTGTTGAGACTGTACTATTGAAATGACTCAGCCTTACCTGAGATTGTACTATTGAAATGATTCACTCTTACTTGAAACTGTACAATTGAAATGACTCAGCCTTACTTGAGATTGTACTATGGAAATGACTCACTCTCTTACTGGAGACTGTAGTACTGAAATGACTCACTCTTACTTGAGACTGTACTATTGAAATGACTCGCTCACTCTTACTTGAGTCTGTACTATTGAAATGACTCACACTTACTTGAGACTGTACAACTGAAATGACTCACACTTACTTGAGATTGTACTATTGAAATGACTCACACTTACTTGGGGCTGTACTACTAAAATGACTCGCACTTACTTGAGACTGTACTATTGAAATGACACACTCTTACTGGAGACTGTACTATTGAAATGACTCACACTTACTTGAAACTGTACAATTGAAATGACACACTCTTACTGGAGACTGTACGATTGAAATGACTTGCACTCCATAAAGCCTGGTTTGTTTATCAGGTTTTGTGAGCAGTCCATACATATTCCTATAAAACTGTTAATACTTTTAATCTCCTGGGCAGTTCTTAAATAATCTATACCACTTAACTAAAATTCAATCATTACTTTGAAATTTTCTGCCATATTGACAGTCTAGAATTTCTGTAGGATATTTACAGTTCTACCGATCATGAGGAAGAACAGTGGTATCATAAAATGAAAGAGGCATGTGAAACCCATACTGAGTACAATACAAACAAACACACAAAATATGTAAGATATATAATATTCAGAATAATATATACATAATAAAGAAAAGTAAAAAAACAAGTGTTACACACCACTGCCGTATAAACTGTTGTAAACTAGGCGCCACCTCTTGTGGGCATACTAAACCAAGGCGACCGATTGTTATGGCTACGTAACCACGGTGACGATGACGACGGTGGCACAGAGACGAGCACGAGGGCAATGATAAGGGAAGAAAAACAGAGAAAGACAACAAATCAACCAAACGTACAAGCAAATCAAATAATCATTGATAATAACCCACACCTGCTTCAGACTTGCAGACAAGCTCCTTAACAAGTCACCATGGTCCATGGTCATATATGGCTTTATAGACCTGTTTAAATAATTAAATTTTTGATAAAAAGTTGCTTTCTTTTTTGTTTTCTTTGTGATGGTGGTGGTGGGGGTTTGGGTTGTGTGTTCCTATTTCACTATTTTTTAAACCATAAATGACTCCATGGTTTAATCACAAGTTTGATAATGTGTTGCTGAAAAAAATCACTTGAGGATTTTTGTTAAGATCAGGGGCTTTTCTCAATGTTATCAAAAGCATCTTTGATTACATATAATAAATGACGTCTAAAGAGGTTGTCTGAGGTTTGAAACATGAAATCATCTTTATAATCATGTAAAATATAATACAAGCAAAAGAATGTGACACTGTTTGTGCTGGCTTTGAATACAATGGTCAGATGTAGATGTATACAAATCTTCAGTTCAAAAAACCTGAACAGAAAAAAAGAAACAAGGAAATGTTAAAACATGTATACACAGGACATACACAGACAAACTACTTTAAATTACCACTTCCAACATTTTTTATTCATCTAATGAGAAAAAAATGAGGAAAAAAAAAGGATGTTTTTATTCCTTCCTCGTCAATTAGACAAAAGTAACCTTTGACCTTTGAACTTCAGTAATGACTTATGTCTGACCTGGTCTTCAAATGGAAGTTACATGCAGTTTTTACAGTTTGCTCTGTAGATATCTAGTTTAAAAACAATTTCTGCTCATTAAAGCCTGATGGTTAAGTGTGATGTCTGATCATTTAAGTCTGACAGATGTCCAGCAGTGGTTAAATGTGATGTCTGATCATTTAAGTCCGACAGATGACCAGCACTGATCATTTAAATCTGACAGATGACCAGCAGTAATTAAGTGTGATGTCTGATCATTTAAATCTGACAGATGACCAGCAGTGATTGTGATGTCTGATCATTTAAATCTGACAGATGACCAGCAGTGATTGTGATGTCTGATCATTTAAATCTGACAGATGACCAGCAGTAATTAAGTGTGATGTCTGATCATTTAAATCTGACAGATGACCAGCAGTAATTAAGTGTGATGTCTGATCATTTAAGTCTGACAGATGACCAGCAGTGATTGTGATGTCTGATCATTTAAATCTGACAGATGACCAGCAGTGATTGTGATGTCTGATCATTTAAGTCCGACAGATGACAAATATTGTTACTCCTTCTTTGTCACTACTTTCATACTATCTCAGTTACTTCCCTTATAATGTTTTTTCAATATTTCAAACAATTAAAGTCAAAGAAATGAAAAAAAAAAAAGTGTATTTGTTCATTTGACAAAAATGAAATAACAAAAATAGTATTGCAGCATGTCTCCCCTCTAACAAACAATAACTACATTTAAAATCATGGCGAGTAAGTGAATATTATGTGTGATTGACGCCACTTGGACATAACATGTACACTAAAAATATTATTTAAACCTAAAAGTTTAGAAAACACAAATTGAACAATTTTTTTGCAAAATATACAATATGAAAATTTGCTTAGCTAGAAGATCTAAAGAAATTCTGCTTTGTTATGGAGTTTGTCTTCAATCCAGTATATTACAGCACCATTTGTGTTTTCTGTCAACCAAATTCACCTATGAACAGTTTAGATATTAAGCCACAACCAACTGTAAAAAATGGTAATAGCGTGCATATTGGTCGATCAATACCAGGTTTAATACAATACAGAAGTCAGGTTACACTTCTATTGTGAACAGAAGAAATGTATAGAAGAAAACGATTCTACTGTCCAATGTTAGGATCTACTAAAGAACATCAGCATGCAACCACAACATAACAATTAACAATTTCCTCAGCTTTTACCAGAAAATCACCAAGCTATTCAAAGCATACTCAAAATATTTATCTATTTTATTAAAATAATTAATAATCATCACTTTTCTCCGTTCAATATCAAACTTGAGGTAATTGCTATAGCCGATGTATTGAGATTTGTGATATGATCTGTTGTCAGAACCTACCGGTGTTCTCCAGGAGTGTTTTTGGAGTGTTGGGTCGATTAATGATGTCGATGAGTGGAGCCAACACCAGGGTAACATAAGGCTGCATCTCCGTGGCAACTAAAAAACACATCAATATCATGTACCTATCTCTAGTAGCAATCTGAATCTCATGCGACAAATGGAAGACATCAAAAACACTATGAAGACTTTTTACCGATTATCAGAAACGACACTTCTCAATGACAGATACCAAACAGCCACAAGCTTCTGTACCTAGTTATCTCAAGTCAGACAGTACGAATACAATGCAACACTCATTGTCCAAGGACTTGTGTGCACAAATGTCATCATCATACTTGAGCATTATCACAAAATATTTTACACATTAATTCTCAATAGCAAATATAATACATACTGTTTTGTACAAGATGTAAGCCAAAAATGCAACATGATTGATTTCTAATGATTAAAGCCAGAACAGCAACATAAATATATCTTACTCATCTTGATGGAGATTTCTCCGATGGCCCAGGTGGCATTGTTACACACGGAGATAAATTCAGGATTTAGGTTCGAGCCTAAGATAGGCATGAAGTCTCCTGTAAATGATAAACACGAAACATGGATAGCCTTCACACACATTAACTCAACATTTTTTTCCCATATCATTCTATTGAGTTTGATCAATTTCCGATTCCTTTTTCTAGTAATTAAACTTCATCCAATATTTTCCTTCACTTCTTAATACAGATTTTTCCTCAAGTGAAAATGAAATGTTTCAAGATTAAGCCAATTTATTCACCTCTGAATACTGAAGAACAAAGTCAGATCATAAAAATATGCTGCAACACTCATTGCTTAATACATTTTGTGTAAGAATGTTATCATATCTAACTTGTAAGATAAAATATTCCTTGATAAAAATCTAGCTGTAAAACCATTGTCAAAAATTCCTATAAGAGACGGCAATAGTTGTAGTGATGCTGTAGTGAAACTTGAAACTTGTGGTATTACTACATCCACAACATAGCCATCCCATGTGTGTGGAAGCACAAGACACACAAAAAAAAGAAGAAAGCGACAAAAAAAAAAGTCACAATAATAACAGGTGATTCAACATGATAACTTGATATTATTTACAATGATAAGGATCAAGTGGAAAGCTTGAGAATGTCACTACAGGTACAACATAAGAAAGAGATTTACCAACCATGCTTGCAAACAAGCACCCACCTATGCAAGGTTTGACATGCTGAAAACAGGCCTTGGTCAAGTCACCTAGAAGTGCAAATGAGCTCTGTCGAACCTCTGGCATGGGGTCCTGTTGTGTAGGGCAAGAATACAATATCATCTAAAGGCAAAATTAAAACTCCAAGCCAAACATTTGTATAACATCATGGCTATATTTGTCTTACTCATTTACAGCAAAGAACAATAGCCTTAGTTTATTATTGACTTGAAAAATTGAAAAATAAATCAAGTTACATTCTTTTATAAGATTCCAATAAAATCTAAGCCAAATCTGTTTTGTTCTTTTTGGAATAAATTTCCACTTTAACATTCAACTTGATGAATTTTAAAAAGTAAGGACCAGTATAGCCAATACGAAATGAAAAATCAGTCATTTGACCTAATGAAGAATGTTTGACAAAGTAAAGGACATTTAACATCTGGGGTATCACAATAGACATGTAACAAAAGAAACATGTGTACTAATTATCACTACTGTCTAAATATAGCCCTGTAGTACTAATTACATGCAAAGTGTACAGCATCAAATATCATATAGTAAAATAAACACATAAAATCAACAACAACAACTCCAGGCAGATCTTAGTTCTTAAAATAGAATTTCTGTAGGATTTCATTCGGTCCCTGTATGATCTCATTCCATTTCTGTAAGTGGGGTTTGATTAGGATTTCTGTACAACCTCTGTCTCTGTAAATGGGACGCGAGTAGAATTTCTGTACAACCTCTTTCTGTCTCTGTAAATGGGACAGGAGTAGAATTTCTGTACAATCTCTTTCTGTCTCTGTAAATGGGACATGAGTAGAATTTCTGTACAACCTCTTTCTGTCTCTGTAAATGGGACACGAGTAGAATTTCTGTACATTCTCTTTTGTCTCTGTAAATGGGACAGGAGTAGAATTTCTGTACATTCTCTTTCTGTCTCTGTAAATGGGACAGGAGTAGAATTTCTGTACAATCTCTATCTCTGTAAATGGGACAGGAGTAGAATTTCTGTACAATCTCTGTCTGTCTCTGTAAATGGGACATGAGTAGAATTTCTGTAGGATTTCTTTGTCTCTGTAAATGGGACATGAACATAATTTCTGTAGGATTTCTTTGTCTCTGTAAATGGGACATGAATAGAATTTCTGTACAATCTCTGTCTGTCTCTGTAAATGGGACATGAGTAGAATTTCTGTAGGATTTCTTTGTCTCTGTAAATGGGACATGAATAGAATTTCTGTACAATCTCTTTCTGTCTCTGTAAACAGGACATGAGTAGAATTTCTGTAGGATTTCTTTGTCTCTGTAAATGGGACATAAGTAGAATTTCTGTAGGATTTCTTTGTCTCTGTAAATGGGACATGAGTAGAATTTCTGTACAATCTCTATCTCTGTAAATGGGACAGGAGTAGAATTTCTGTACAATCTCTTTCTGTCTCTGTAAATGGGACATGAATAGAATTTCTGTACAATCTCTTTCTATCTCTGTAAATGGGACATCAGTAGAATTTCTGTACAATCTCTGTCTGTCTCTGTAAATGGGACATGAGTAGAATTTCTGTAGGATTTCTTTGTCTCTGTAAATGGGACATGAACATAATTTCTGTAGGATTTCTTTGTCTCTGTAAATGGGACATGAATAGAATTTCTGTACAATCTCTGTCTGTCTCTGTAAATGGGACATGAGTAGAATTTCTGTTCAATCTCTGTCTCTGTAAATGGGACAGGAGTAGAATTTCTGTACAATCTCTGTCTGTCTCTGTAAATGGGACATGAGTAGAATTTCTGTAGGATTTCTTTGTCTCTGTAAATGGGACATGAATAGAATTTCTGTACAATCTCTCTTTCTGTCTCTGTAAACAGGACATGAGTAGAATTTCTGTAGGATTTCTTTGTCTCTGTAAATGGGACATAAGTAGAATTTCTGTAGGATTTCTTTGTCTCTGTAAATGGGACATGAGTAGAATTTCTGTACAATCTCTATCTCTGTAAATGGGACAGGAGTAGAATTTCTGTACAATCTCTTTCTGTCTCTGTAAATGGGACATGAATAGAATTTCTGTACAATCTCTTTCTATCTCTGTAAATGGGACATGAATAGAATTTCTGTACAATCTCTTTCTATCTCTGTAAATGGGACAGGAGTAGAATTTCTGTACAATCTCTTTCTGTCTCTGTAAATGGGACATGAATAGAATTTCTGTACAATCTCTTTCTATCTCTGTAAATGGGACATCAGTAGAATTTCTGTACAATCTCTGTCTGTCTCTGTAAATGGGACATGAGTAGAATTTCTGTGGGATTTCTTTGTCTCTGTAAATGGGACATGAGTAGAATTTCTGTACAATCTCTATCTCTGTCTGTCTCTGTAAATGGGACATGAATAGAATTTCTGTAGGATTTCTTTGTCTCTGTAAATGGGACATGAGTAGAATTTCTGTACAATCTCTTTCTGTCTCTGTAAATGGGACATGAATAGAATTTCTGTACAATCTCTTTCTATCTCTGTAAATGGGACATGAGTAGAATTTCTGTAGGATTATTTTCAGTCTCTGTAAATGGGACATGAGTAGAATTTCTGTGGGATTTCTTTGTCTCTGTAAATGGGACATGAGTAGAATTTCTGTACAATCTCTATCTCTGTCTGTCTCTGTAAATGGGACATGAATAGAATTTCTGTAGGATTTCTTTGTCTCTGTAAATGGGACATGAGTAGAATTTCTGTACAATCTCTTTCTGTCTCTGTAAATGGGACATGAATAGAATTTCTGTACAATCTCTTTCTATCTCTGTAAATGGGACATCAGTAGAATTTCTGTACAATCTCTGTCTGTCTCTGTAAATGGGACATGAGTAGAATTTCTGTAGGATTTCTTTGTCTCTGTAAATGGGACATGAGTAGAATTTCTGTACAATCTCTTTCTGTCTCTGTAAATGGGACATGAGTAGAATTTATATACAATCTCTTTCTGTCTCTGTAAATGGGACATGAATAGAATTTCTGTAAGATTTCTTTGTCTCTGTAAATGGGACATGAGTAGAATTTCTGTACAATCTCTTTCTGAGTAGAATTTCTGTACAATCTCTTTCTGTCTCTGTAAACAGGACATGAGTAGAATTTCTGTATGATTCTTTTGTCTCTGTAAATGGGACATGAGTAGAATTTCTGTACAATCTCTCTTTCTGTCTCTGTAAATGGGACATGAATAGAATTTCTGTAGGATTTCTTTGTCTCTGTAAATGGGACATGAATAGAATTTCTGTAAGATTTCTTTGTCTCTGTAAATGGGACATGAGTAGAATTTCTGTACAATCTCTTTCTGAGTAGAATTTCTGTACAATCTCTCTTTCTGTCTCTGTAAATGGGACATGAATAGAATTTCTGTAGGATTTCTTTGTCTCTGTAAATGGGACATGAATAGAATTTCTGTAAGATTTCTTTGTCTCTGTAAATGGGACATGAGTAGAATTTCTGTACAATCTCTTTCTGAGTAGAATTTCTGTACAATCTCTTTCTGTCTCTGTAAATGGGACATAAGTAGAATTTCTGTAGGATTTCTTTGTCTCTGTAAACAGGACATGAGTAGAATTTCTGTAGGATTCTTTTGTCTCTGTAAATGGGACATGAGTAGAATTTGTGTACAATCTCTCTTTCTGTCTCTGTAAATGGGACATGAGTAGAATTTCTGTAGGATTTCTTTGTCTCTGTAAATGGGACATGAGTAGAATTTCTGTACAACCTCTTTCTGTCTCTGTAAATGGGACAAGAGTAGAATTTCTGTACAACCTCTTTCTGTCTCTGTACATGGATATGAGTAGAATTTCTGTAAAACTGAAAATCTACATTTCTCAATCTGAGGTCAACTACCCCAATATTGATATTTTCTAATTTTTTTCTCATTCTATTTTAATCTTCCTACAAATTTCAGTTCAGATTATAGTAACGAATAAGCTAAGAACATGTATACAGAATCAAACATCACACACCTTCAAAATGCTGAAAATATTCCTTCCAGGTCAATCTGGTGACTTACAGATGAGACTCATGAAGCTGACTCACAGAGATGTGATTATGTCTTGAAACTAACTTACCTGCATGCACTGAAAGAGCAACTTGAGGATGTTACTGTTGGCTACAAGAGCTTCAATGTGCTGTTCCAGTCCCTCAGCTAGGCCGCTCAGAAGGTCAAGGGCCACAATCATAAAGTCCTTGTCTGGAGGTTCGTATCGGTCAGGGTGAGACATGCTCATCTGCAATGTCACATGGATTTTTTTCTCTCTTTTTCTCTTATTGACTCAGTCCTAAGTATACCAGATAGAATATTTCTGTGCCTTAAGAGTACCAGGTAGACTATTTCTAGGCCCTCAATGTCCCAGAAAGGATATTTCTGTGCCCTAATAGTTCCAGGTAGAATGTTTCTGTGCCCTAATAGTTCCAGGTAAAATATTTCTAGGCCCTAATAGTTCCAGGTAAAATATTTCTGTGCCCTAAGAATACCAGATTAAATATTTTTATACCCTTAAGAGTTCCAGGTGGAATATTTTTACCTGTCTCCACTGACCAGTTAAATGTTGAACAGACCAGTTTTAACATTACTATTTAAGATTTAGATATTCTAAACCCTGATACTCCCTGCTGCTACTTACAAAGTTCTGGTTAAGTGTCTGTTCCACCAAGGACACACATCTACGGTATACCGGCTCACAGTAGGGCAGGAAACCAGACTGAAGGGCTGTCGCAACACTGGACAGACACTGTAAACACAGAGATCATTCATTAAACCTTGATGATGGTGGGGTTGTAAACTTTATGACATAATAATATCATTATTTACAGATTAGCAAACAGTTTTCTCATTAGTCAGAACTTGACTGTGTGTCAGGTGATGAAAAGTGATATGGACTTTGAACTTGTGTAAAAATCCTTGAATTTCCTGGTACTTTTCTAAATGTTGGTAAATAAGGACCTTCTACATGAAGATAGTTTGGCCTTCACTGACCTCTAACAAAGGGAAGAGATCTTTGTCTTCATCCTTTAAGACGTTCCACTTCTGTATAAGGGGTGGCATCAGCATGTTGACATAGTCCTACAATGAAAACCCTATTAGTTATCATAAGATTATAAACATCCTGTAAAAGGCCAAAGGAACCAATCCACCAAAATGTCTGGCTTATTCAGGACAATTAAATACCTAGAACAATGTAGTACACCTTATTTCCTATGAATTGCTCAACAATTTTGTTTGTTTGTTTGCTAAATTTACAAAATTCGACAGCCAGAATCACTTCGAGCAAAGTCTACTCGTAGTAGCTAGTGACAACCTCATGAACAACATATGAGAGGTCTGTCACATGCCCCTAGGGTCTTGCCCAAGGTCCTAACAAAGGCATCACATGCTGGTCCACTTTTTAGCTTCCCGAGAAACAAAAGCAAACACTGCCAAAGGTCAGAAACCTCAAACCACACACCCTTTACTTCAGGTTGTGTAAGTCAACATTCTACAGTCTGATTCAAAAGATGAGACAGCTATTTGGTTATACACTTATAAATCAAGGTCCAACCTACCGGTTTGTTAAGGTGATGGCCGACAGAATCAGCTAGGGTTCCAATTGCGTCATACAGAATCAACAGGTTCTTGTGCTAAAAAACAAATATTTGACCACTATTACATTCTATTTATTTATATATATATATACACTATTTCTATATCAGTACATATATACATCATAAAACAAGTTTTGTTGCTTTCAGATTTTATTAATATAACAACGCCTAAAATTACCAACATTGGCATTCAGGAGGATTCGTGAGGATATGATTGAAGTCTTTAAAATTACAAACAATTTTTGTGAAGTAACGCTGCTAGTTTCCTTAAATTGTGGATCGACAAAGTTCAAATTCAGCTAACAAGGGGTCACTCCAAAAAACTTTACATGTAGCCCTGTAAACTTGACATCAGGAAACATTCTTTTTCTTTGCGTGTGGTCAAAATATGGAACAATCTTCCCGAGTATATTGTATCGGCACCAACAGTTTAACTCTTTCAAAAACAGATTAGATGAACTCTGGGCAAATCAAGAACTGGTATATAATTACAATCAGAAATTATGTAGTTCCTGGATCTGACGTCTCAAATGACAATAATTATAAACATTATCATTGTATCACTGAGACCTGTATAGAGGATCGTAACGATCCTGCATTGGTAATAAACTAAACTAAACTAAACTAAACTAAACTATAACAAGTTTGCAGCAACTTACTTTTATGAATTCAAAGTCACTATTGTAGAATTCAAAAGTGCACAGTCTTCAGTGGGAAGCCTGATATCTGGTCACTAATTTGGTCATAACATAGAATTTATCAATAGTATACGGTTTAACACCAAATGAACAAACAGGTATTATAAAGTGATATCACCAGATACTTGTTGTAGGCATAGACAAGTGATATCACCAGATACTTGTTGTAGGCATAGGCAAGTGATATCACCCGATACTTGTTGTAGGCATAGACAAGTGATATCACCCGTTACTTGTTGTAGGCATAGAAAAGTGATATCACCAGATACTTGTTGTAGGCATAGACAAGTGATATCACCCGATACTTGTTGTAGGCATAGACAAGTGATATCACCCGATACTTGTTGTAGGCATAGACAAGTGATCTCACCCGATACTTGTTGTAGGCATAGACAAGTGATATCACCCGATACTTGTTGTAGGCATAGACAAGTGATATCACCCGATACTTGTTGTAGGCATAGACAAGTGATATCACCAGATACTTGTTGTAGGCATAGACAAGTGATATCACCCGATACTTGTTGTAGGCATAGACAAGTGATATCACCAGATACTTGTTGTAGGCATAGACAAGTGATATCACCAGATACTTGTTGTAGGCATAGACAAGTGATATTACTCGATACTTGTTGTAGGCATAGACAAGTGATCTCACCCGATACTTGTTGTAGGCATAGACAAGTGATATCACCCGATACTTGTTGTAGGCATAGACAAGTGATATCACCAGACACTTGTTGTAGGCATAGACAAGTGATATCACCAGATACTTGTTGTAGGCATAGACAAGTGATATCACCCGATACTTGTTGTAGGCATAGACAAGTGATATCACCAGATACTTGTTGTAGGCATAGACAAGTGATATCACCCGATACTTGTTGTAGGCATAGACAAGTGATCTCACCCGATACTTGTTGTAGGCATAGACAAGTGATATCACCCGATACTTGTTGTAGGCATAGACAAGTGATATCACCAGATACTTGATGTAGGCATAGACAAGTGATATCACCCGATACTTGTTGTAGGCATAGACAAGTGATCTCACCCGATACTTGTTGTAGGCATAGACAAGTGATATCACCCGATACTTGTTGTAGGCATAGACAAGTGATATCACCAGATACTTGTTGTAGGCATAGACAAGTGATATCACCAGATACTTGTTGTAGGCATAGACAAGTGATATCACCAGATACTTGTTGTAGGCATAGACAAGTGATATTACCCGATACTTGTTGTAGGCATAGACAAGTGTCACAAGTGACATTACCTGATACTTGTTGTAAGCGTAGACAAGAGTCACAAGTGATATTACCTGATACTTGTTGAAAGTGTAGACAAGTGTCACAAGTGATATTACCTGATACTTGTTGTAAGCGTAGATAAGTGTCACAAGTGATATTACCTGATACTTGTTGTAAGCGTAGATAAGTGCCACAAGTGATATTACTCGATACTTGTTGAAAGTGTAGACAAGTGTCACAAGTGATATTACCTGATACTTGTTGAAAGCATAGACTAGCGTCTCCAGGATAAATCCGAGATAAGGAACCAGTTCTGTACAAGCCTCTTCTTCTAGGGTGGCAAAAGCTGAGCAGGCTGCTTCTTGTACTCTTTTGTTGGAGTCAAGCACTCTCTTCAGTAGCTACATGGGTAAAAACGTTTAATAACAAATCATTATAGTTTCTTTCCCTTAGGAATTATACCTCTGGGTTAAGTAGGAGAATTATTTTGTTAAACTTACTACAAAATTTTGTTATCATCGATTACAGTACAACAATGCCCGGTAAATTCTATTTCTATCTGATGTGGATTATATTGTGTAACATTAATACACACATTAATATATGGGATTCAAAAACAATTCTAATGGCGACTTGATGTGTGTAGAAAATTGGAGCCTTTTTCTTTCAGAAGATCTTACCTCTGTCATGAGTGGTTTGAGGTACAGTTCATGGGGCTGGCCCACAACCCAGTGGGCATATCGACTGAGTGTCCAGCATGTGATAGAGCGCACCAGGGCCTTCTTGTCTGACAGTCGACTGATGAGATATGGGATGAGTTCAGGCAGATGTGGGATCATCCCATTCATGCAGCCCTCTGCAATAGCTCCTAGCACCAGAATACCAGATTCTTTGATATCCCAGTCATTGTGAAACAGCGTCTCTTTCAGGATTGGCAACAAAATGGGCAGTATCTCCTCTCGAAACACATTTGCAAGCACATCAAGGGCTGCTGCAGAGCATTTTCCTATAGAAACATGTAAGGTTAACATAAACCTGAACATGTGGACCCAATTGTATTAACACAGACAGGTTGTGTCTCAGGTCATATTAATAGGTTATATCTAGTCTTGGCGATTAGGTCAGTCATTTAAAATCTGGTAAACCCCTTGTATAGAAAGAGGTTTATGGAACCACACTAAAACAGGCCCAAGCCTATACCTGGCACTGCGGGAAAGAAAAGTCAAAATAATTTCTGGAAGACATGAACACTCAACTCTTTAGGAATATAACCATGTTAAACCATATTGTAGATTATCAATTCACTTATGTCTTCACTAGACATTATATCTGCAGAATGTCACAGGTGTAGGAAACACTGATATCATACACAAGGCATCATGTTTGCAGAATGTCACATGAGGTGTAGGAAACACTGATATCAAACACAAGGCATCATGTCTGCAGAATGTCACATGAGGTGTTTGAAACACTGATATCAAACACAAGGCAACATGTCTACAGAATGTCACATGAGGTGTAGGAAACACTGATATTAAACACAAGGCATCATGTCTACAGAATGTCACATTGTAGGAAACACTGATATCAAACACAAGGCATCATGTCTACAGAATATCATATGAGATGTAGGAAACACTGATATCAAACACAAGGCATCATGTCTACAGAATGTCATATGAGATGTAGGAAACACTGATATCAAACACAAGACATCATGTCTACAGAATGTCACATGAGATGTAGGAAACACTGATATCAAACAAGGCATCATGTCTACAGAATGTCACATTGTAGGAAACACTGATATCAAACACAAGGCATCATGTCTACAGAATGTCACATTGTAGGAAACACTGATATCAAACACAAGGCATCATGTCTACAGAATATCATATGAGATGTAGGAAACACTGATATCAAACACAAGGCATCATGTCTACAGAATGTCATATGAGATGTAGGAAACACTGATATCAAACACAAGACATCATGTCTACAGAATGTCACATGAGATGTAGGAAACACTGATATCAAACAAGGCATCATGTCTACAGAATGTCACATTGTAGGAAACACTGATATCAAACACAAGGCATCATGTCTACAGAATGTCACATGAGATGTAGGAAACACTGATATCAAACACAAGGCATCATGTCTACAGAATGTCACATGAGATGTAGGAAACACTGATATCAAACACAAGGCATCATGTCTACAGAATGTCACATGAGATGTAGGAAACACTGATATCAAACACAAGGCATCATGTCTACAGAATGTCACATGAGATGTAGGAAACACTGATATCAAACACAAGGCATCATGTCTACAGAATGTCACATGAGAAGTAGGAAACACTGATATCAAACACAAGGCATCATGTCTACAGAATGTCACATGAGATGTAGGAAACACTGATATCAAACACAAGGCATCATGTCTACAGAATGTCACATGAGATGTAGGAAACACTGATATCAAACACAAGGCATCGTGTCTACAGAATGTCACACGAGATGTAGGAAACACTGATATCAAACACAAGGCATCGTGTCTACAGAATGTCACACGAGATGTAGGAAACACTGATATCAAACACAAGGCATCATGTCTACAGAATGTCACATGAGATGTAGGAAACACTGATATCAAACACAAGGCATCATGTCTACAGAATGTCACATGAGATGTAGGAAACACTGATATCAAACACAAGGCATCATGTCTACAGAATGTCACATGAGATGCTACCCTATAATCAGAATGAGTGAACAAACAAAATATTTCTAATAAGTCACAAGAATATCTTTTTTCACAGTAAAAATATGAGGCAAATACTTCTTCCAATTTTAAGACCACAATTACATATTCTAATCTGAAAACAGGTTTAAGAATGCTTTTACTAAAGTTCACTAAAGTATTCATTCAATCATAATACCAAATGAATGCCTTAATGAAATATATATAAAAAATCTGTTTTCATGCATCAGGCTAGACACAAACATCAGTCCTAACCTTTGTATTTATAAAATCATTACACAAATACCATTGAAAAAGTAATTAAAACATCTTCTCTTTCACTGTCAACACCAGCCATGTAAATTTGATAGGAAACTGCAAACAAATAGACAAGTACTCCATGGCATTGACTTACCTTGGTCTTCTGAACCATGTGAACCTGATCCATTTCAAACAAGCAGGGAAGGGGAAAAGCTTAAATATCTCAAATTCTATGCAAGTACCAAAGATTGATTTGTCGAGAAAAAACCTGATCTTAAAGTTTTTTTTTTTTTTTTTTTTTTAACTTTTTTCATGCAGCCAGGTTGAAACAGTTGAACAGCCTGGAATTATTCCGAGATCAACAAATGAACCTGTACTGGATGTTGGAACCAATATATAATATAGGTTCAAAATGCACAGTTTAAGGAATTATTGTCAAACATAAAATCCTGAACCAAAACTAAAATATACATCTAAACTTGTTATTGATGGCATAACATTACCAGAAATAGAGGCATGAATATTTCTAATCACACAAATAACTCCAGAAATTTGCCCAACACTGAATAACTTCATGATACATGGAGAAAGGTTTTGAAGTGAACAACCTTTGATACAAAGGATGAAAAATACTAGGCCCCAGCAGTGTTAAAATCTTGCTGTTTTGTAAGATTTTGAAAACAGATGGTTTTAAAAACAGGTTTCCACACAAGCAAACACCTTTTTGAAGATTTGAAAGAAGGAACTAGTTGGTGGATCTCTATTACAGCTTACATATTATATAGGGTATTTAAATAGCACCCGAAACAAATCAGATTCCAAACCTCAATACAGCAGGAAGATATATTGTAGATGAACAAATGTAAAGGTATTCTTGTGTAAATCAGGGAAGTAAGAAGTGCTGTTTATATATAGTGATATGTGTAGACATTCTTTGTATAAAACAATCCACATAGATATGGGAAATATATTCTGATTGTGTAACGTTAGCATATGTATATACTTCAGGCTGAGAAGATAAATATAATCATGGATGGAGTATATATACGAGCAAAACATAAAACATTTTAATGTGTCCAGTCATCATTTATTTGTTAACATTTTTTCTCTGACAAATTAATTCCATCAGCACAAATGTGTATCTACACTAGGTGGCAATGTACAGCATGCCTTTTCAATAAATAACAAAGAAAAACTTTCTGCAGCATGCTGAAATTCTCAGCTGCATTTGATGTCATACATACTAGTATGAGACACATTAAACATTTTTATGCTAGTACAATTGTGATATACTTACTAAGATTCCAATCAGAGAGACTATCATCATCGTCAAAACCGTCATCTGACAACTCCCCATCCTATAACAAATATCATAACTCTCCGTTTTTATGTGGAATTTGTATGTATATTTCACGATAGTTGGATATCAAACAATAAAACATGATATAACTTTCTACAGGACATAACTTTACATCAGACAGATGACATTTTCTACAGGACATAACTTAACATCTGACAGATGATATAACTTTCTACAGGACATAACTTAACACCTGACAGATGATATAACTTTCTACAGGACATAACTTAACATCTGACAGATGATATAACTTTCTACAGGACATAGCTTAACATCAGACAGATGACATAACCTTCTACAGGACATAACTTAACATCTGACAGATGATATAACTTTCTACAGGACATAGCTGAAATCTGAAAGATGATGTAAATTTCTACAGGACATTACTTAACATCTGGACAGTTACAGTGCTAGCCATGAAAATGCTTCTAAGATCTGTTTTTTTTTTTTTTTGACATCTTATAGAAATCCACATAAAACAATACTCCATCATAACTTAAAATCAGGAACACACATTAAACTGTATTGCTCTACCATAAATATATCACAACTACTGGAGGTGCCATGTTGTTGAGGGACAAATAAAGAAAAATGTATACTTACACTAGTACCGTTACCTACCTCCTCACCGTCCTGGTGTTTCTGGCTGTGAGTGCGGGATTTGTGGAAACGAGGTTTGATGTCAGACTCCTTATCTGGAACCATTTCATCCTCCTCAACATCCCCCTAAAAAAAAAGGGGGAAAAAAAAAGTCATCTTTGGAATCTGTACCAATGCAGAATTTGAATTACATCAGGTTTTTTGTCCTACTTGGGTAAGATGTTATCAGCTATCTTACAAACACCCATCAGTCCACCCATATCAATTACGGATCTCTAGAACTATCCCTGATCTCTAGAACTATCACTGATCTATCACTGATCTCTAGAACTATCACAGATCTCTAGATCTATTACTGATCTCTAGAACTGTTACTGATCTCTAGATCTATTACCGATCTCTAGAACTGTTACTGATCTCTAGATCTATTACTGATCTCTAGAACTGTTACTGATCTCTAGATCTATTACTGATCTCTAGATCTATTACTGATTTCTAGAACTGTTACTGATCTCTAGAACTATCCCTGATCTCTAGAACTATCACTGATCTATCACTGATCTCTAGAACTATCACAGATCTCTAGATCTATTACTGATTTCTAGAACTGTTACTGATTTCTAGAACTTTCAGTGATCTCTAGAACTATTACTGATCTATCAGTGATCTCTAGAACTATCACTGATCTATCACTGACCTCTAGAACTATCACTGATCTCTAGAACTATTACTGATCTCTAGAACTATTACTGATCTATAGAACTGTCACTGATCTCTAGAACTATCAGTGATCTCTAGATCTATCAATGATCTCTTGAACTATTACTGATCTCTAGAACTATTACTGATCTATAGAACTGTCACTGATCTCTAGAACTATCAGTGATCTCTAGATCTATCACCGATCTCTAGAACTATTACTGATCTATAGAACTATTACTGATCTATCACTGATCTCTAGAACTATCAGTGATCTCTTGAACTATTACTGATATATCACTGATCTCTTGAACTATTACTGATATATCACTGATCTCTAGAACTATCAGTGATCTCTAGAACAATCAGTGATCTCTAGAACTATTACTGATCTCTAGAACTATCAGTGATCTCTAGAACTATCACAGATCTCTAGAACTATTACTGTTCTTAGAACTATTACTGATCTATAGAACTGTCACTGATCTCTAGAACTATCAGTGATCTCTAGATCTATCACTGATCTCTAGAACTATCAGTGATCTCTAGAACTATCACTGATCTCTAGAACTATCAGTGATCTCTAGATCTATCACTGATCTCTAGAACTATCAGTGATCTCTAGAACTATCAGTGATTTCTAGAACTATCAGTGATCTCTAGAACTGATCTCTAGAACTGTCAGTGATCTCTAGAACTGTTACTGATCTCTAGAACTATTACTGATCTCTAGAACTATCACTGATCTATCACTGACCTCTAGAACTATCACTGATCTCTAGAACTATTACTGATCTCTAGAACTGATCTCTAGAACTATCACTGATCTCTAGAACTATTACTGATCTCTAGAACTATTACTGATCTATAGAACTGTCACTGATCTCTAGAACTATCAGTGATCTCTAGATCTATCAATGATCTCTTGAACTATTACTGATCTCTAGAACTATTACTGATCTATAGAACTGTCACTGATCTCTAGAACTATCAGTGATCTCTAGATCTATCACCGATCTCTAGAACTATTACTGATCTATAGAACTATTACTGATCTATCACTGATCTCTAGAACTATCAGTGATCTCTTGAACTATTACTGATATATCACTGATCTCTTGAACTATTACTGATATATCACTGATCTCTAGAACTATCAGTGATCTCTAGAACAATCAGTGATCTCTAGAACTATTACTGATCTCTAGAACTATCAGTGATCTCTAGAACTATCACAGATCTCTAGAACTATTACTGTTCTTAGAACTATTACTGATCTATAGAACTGTCACTGATCTCTAGAACTATCAGTGATCTCTAGATCTATCAGTGATCTCTAGAACTATCACTGATCTCTAGAACTGTCAGTGATCTCTAGAACTGTTACTGATCTCTAGAACTATTACTGATCTCTAGAACTATCAGTGATCTCTAGAACTATCAGTGATCTATAGAACTGTCAGTGATCTCTAGAACTGTTACTGATCTCTAGAACTATCACTGATCTCTAGAACTATCAGTGATCTCTAGAACTATTACTGTTCTTAGAACTATTACTGATCTATAGAACTGTCACTGATCTCTAGAACTATCAGTGATCTCTAGATCTATCACCGATCTCTAGAACTATTACTGATCTATAGAACTATTACTGATCTATCACTGATCTCTAGAACTATCACTGATCTCTAGAACTATCAATGATCTCTTGAACTATTACTGATATATCACTGATCTCTAGAACTATCAGTGATCTCTAGAACTATCACAGATCTCTAGAACTATTACTGATCTCTAGAACTATCAGTGATCTCTAGAACTATCAGTGATTTCTAGAACTATCAGTGATCTCTAGAACTATCAGTGATCTCTAGAACTATTACTGATCTCTAGAACTATCAGTGATCTCTAGAACTATCAGTGATCTCTAGAACTGTCAGTGATCTCTAGAACTATTACTGATCTCTAGAACTATCAGTGATCTCTAGAACTATTACTGATCTCTAGAACTATCAGTGATCTCTAGAACTATTACTGATATCTAGAACTGTCACTGATCTCTAGAACTATCAGTGATCTCTAGAACTATCAGTGATCTCTAGAACTGTCAGTGATCTCTAGAACTATTACTGATCTCTAGAACTATCAGTGATCTCTAGAACTATTACTGATCTCTAGAACTATCAGTGATCTCTAGAACTATTACTGATATCTAGAACTGTCACTGATCTCTAGAACTATCAGTCATCTCTAGAACTATCAGTCATCTCTAGAACTATCAGTGATCTCTAGAACTATTACTGATCTCTAGAAGTATCACTGATCCTTAGAAGTATCACTGATCTCTAGAACTGATCTCTAGAACTATTACTGATATCTAGAATTTGATTTGAATGTTCTACAACAAGCCCTTCATAAGCTTCAATAAAAAATTATGCCTTATCCCCAGGTTGTCGGAGATCTTGCAGATAATTGTATAGTTATAGATGTTGACATTGTACAAACCTTCAGCAGTATAATGTCGATCTCTGAATATTTCATGCCTTTAACAAGGACAGGGACGAGACGTTCGATGTGTGATGCCAGCACGTCTTTACAGATAGGCTGTTCGGCCAGCGAAAGCCAAAATTCGCATGCCTCCAATGCCACACTATCGTCGTCATCCTGGGTTCGCAGCATCATGTACTATTAACACCGATATAAGAATAAAAATGGGTTTGTAGCATCATGTACTATTTAACACAGAGACAGAGATAAAACTGGGTTTGTAGCATCATGTACTATTAACACAGAGACGGAGATAAAACTGGGTTTGTAGCATCATGTACTATTAACACAGAGACGGAGATAAAACTGGGTTTGTAGCATCATGTACTATTAACACAGAGACGGAGATAAAACTGGGTTTGTAGCATCATGTACTATTAAAACAGAGACGGAGATAAAACTGGGTTTGTAGCATCATGTACTATTAACACAGAGACAGAGATAAAACTGGGTTTGTAGCATCATGTACTATTAACACAGAGACAGAGATAAAACTGGGTTTGTAGCATCATGTACTATTAACACAGAGATGGAGATAAAACTGGGTTTGTAGCATCATGTACTATTAAAACAGAGACGGAGATAAAACTGGGTTTGTAGCATCATGTACTATTAACACCGATATAAGAATAAAAATGGGTTTGTAGCATCATGTACTATTTAACACAGAGACAGAGATAAAATTGGGTTTGTAGCATCATGTACTATTAACACAGAGACGGAGATAAAACTGGGTTTGTAGCATCATGTACTATTAACACAGAGACGGAGATAAAACTGGGTTTGTAGCATCATGTACTATTAACACAGAGACGGAGATAAAACTGGGTTTGTAGCATCATGTACTATTAACACAGAGACGGAGATAAAACTGGGTTTGTAGCATCATGTACTATTAACACAGAGACGGAGATAAAACTGGGTTTGTAGTATCATGTACTATTAAAACAGAGACGGAGATAAAACTGGGTTTGTAGCATCATGTACTATTAACACAGAGACGGAGATAAAACTGGGTTTGTAGCATCATGTACTATTAACACAGAGACGGAGATAAAACTGGGTTTGTATCATCATGTACTATTAAAACAGAGACAGAGATAAAACTGGGTTTGTAGCATCATGTACTATTAACACAGAGATGGAGATAAGACTGTAGAAATCTCTGGTGTAGAGACAATTTTAAAATCATCTGTATATATCATTGTAATAATATTTATTTGACCCTAAAATATTGTGAAATTCTTCAGCTATATGCACTTTGTTAATGATAATGAGACATTTGATCCCTGCAGTGTGACTTATGTTTTGACCCTTGACCTACTTACCTCTATAATGCTGTTGATATGAGGTATTAGCCTGTCCATTCGGACCTCAACCAGCATCACCAGTGCTCGACAGACATTTTTCCTCACTTCTGTGTCCTCATCTGTTGCCAGGAAAAATAGGTTCTGGGTGGAGGAAGTGAGAAATATTTGTACACAAACAAGAAAACTATATTCTTAACAATACAAGGAAATTTTGGGTCCAGAAAGAGCCTCCAGAACCTCAAAAAAATCTTCTCTTTGTAAGAAAGATTGTTGACTAAATCACTAGCCTATGGCACTCAAAGACTGCCACTTAAGCACACTAAAATCATATATGAAAATTCAAGGATTATGAAGAACAAAACAATTTTTTAAATGTCTTTTATTACTGCTACTCCAATAAAAACACATATCTGACTCTAGGGCTCTAAAATGCACCACTTCTATCCACTATTTGGTTTCCTGTCTGTTGCTTTTAAGCAAAGTTTTAATTGTCTGTGTGATGCCTTTAATTAAAAGTCCTGGAGCAGATTTTTACAGGAATAGCCACAAGAATATATGTCATTAGGCAGGAGGACATTAAGTTGTTTGTTGTGTTGTTTACCGTTAAAATAATACATCACGATCTACTATTTATAGTTCAGCAAAGGACACTCGTATCTCATTTTTATGGATTAATAAAGAAAGTCTGTACCAGTAATTATTGTTAACTGAGGACAGCTAAAATCCTAGTTCATACTGATTTTTATTTTAACAAGACTACACACAAGGAAAAATCACGGAGTCTTATGACTCCACTTATTTATCAGACATTATAGAACTTTTAATCTTGAAAATGAATCTATTTGTGGTTCACATGATTTTCTGCCCGAGGCTGTGAATCAATAACAGGCCAACACTGGTACATCTTGCTAGAAGCTGTCTGTAATGGCCAGTGCACAAAACCTAACAAGATTTCATCACTCTACATCAATTAATTATTTACTATTTAATGTCATATCTTAATCAATCCTTCATGCGAGAGACAGTAGTACACTGACTTAATCTATCTCAAGGCAGACAGGAATTGTTGCTTACAAAATACTGAAATGTTACAGGACAGTATTCCCATACAGACAAGTTTCCCATTTCCTATGGCCATGCAAATGAAAAGTCAGTTTTATACATACAAGTTCTATAAATATATTGTGCCTTATGATGTACAGAATTCAATCTACTTTCCTGCTGTCAGTCTGAATTTTTTCCCTCTACAATTAATTAATCTTACCTCGATGAAACCATCGATATGCACCATTAGGGCCTGAGTGCGACTAATGATAAACTGATTCACACATGCTATAGCATGGGACCTGTCAACAAAAACAAAGGCATTTCAGTTACTTCTAGTCAACAAATTCATGAAATACATCAATTTCACAGTATTAGAATATTATTTAACCATGAGCAAGTGTGGCATTGAAATAATTTTTTTCTGGAAAACCAGGAAATTCAAGCCCTACTAGCAGGGCATTGTGAGGGTGGGAGAATTTATTATCATCAAACTCTAGAACTGTGATATTGAAGGAGCTAGAGAGAGAGTATGTCAAGGGCCATGTGCTGTAAAACCAGGGAGACTGTACCCGATGTTTGAGACTGGTGTCAATAGAGCTTGAGAAACTAGTGAGTGATGATGAGGATGGGATACTGTCAAATTAGGATGGAGAATTTATCATCACCTGATTTTGGGACTGTTGTGTTTAAAGAACTGGAGAAACTTGGGAATGAGGATGTTAAGAGGTCGAGTGCTGTCATTGTCAAGGTCCTCGGCAGTGTCCTCACAGATCTTCTGTAATGCCCCAAAAGCTCCCTGAAACAAATAAAGAGAAAGTTCTTTGATTTCCCGCAGTTCCCAATCAGTGCAAGATCAGAAGTACAATTACTATATATTTCTATCAATGTACAAGGAAATGATTTACCATGTTGTAGATAGTAACAACCTCCACATCTGACCAATTCACCATCAGCACTTTCTATAATTCACCATCAATACTTTCTATAATTCACCATCAGTACTTTTTATAATTCACCATCAGTACTTTTTATAATTCTATAATTCACCATCAGTTCTTTCTATAATTCACCATCAGTACTTTTTATAATTCACCATCAGTACTTTTTATAATTCTATAATTCACCATCAGTACTTTCTATAATTCACCATCAATACTTTCTATAATTCTATAATTCAGCATCAGTTCTTTCTATAATTCACCATCAGTACTTTTTATAATTCATCATCAGTACTTTTTATAATTCATCATCACTACTTCTTATAATTCACCATCAATACTTTCTATAATTCTATAATTCACCATCAGTTCTTTCTATAATTCACCATCAGTACTTTCTATAATTCACCATCAGTACTTTCTATAATTCACCATCAGTACTTTCTATAATTCACCATCAGTTCTTTCTATAATTCACCATCAGCACTTTCTATAATTCACCATCAGTACTTTTTATAATTCACCATCAATACTTTCTATAATTCTATAATTCACCTTAAGTTCTTTCTATATTTCACCATCAGTCTTTCTATAATTCACCATCACTACCTCTTATAATTCACCATCAGTACTTTCTATAATTCAGCATCAGTACTTTCTATAATTCACCATCACTACCTCTTATAATTCACCATCAGTACTTTCTATAATTCAGCATCAGTTCTTTCTATAATTCACCATCAATACTTTCTATAATTCTATAATTCACCATCAGTTCTTTCTATAATTCACCATCAGTACTTTCTATAATTCACCATCACTACCTCTTATAATTCACCATCAGTACTTTCTATAATTCAGCATCAGTTCTTTCTATAATTCACCATCAATACTTTCTATAATTCTATAATTCACCATCAGTTCTTTCTATAATTCACCATCAGACTTTCTATAATTCACCATCAATACTTTCTATAATTCACCATCAGTACTTTCCATAATTCACCATCAGTACTTTCTATAATTCACCATCACTACCTCTTATAATTCACCATCAGTACTTTCTATAATTCAGCATCAGTTCTTTCTATAATTCACCATCAGTACTTTCTATAATTCACCATCAGTACTTTCTATAATTTACCATCAGTACTTTCTATAATTTACCATCAGTACATTTTATAATTTACCATCAGTACTTTCTATAATTCACCATCAGTACTTTCTATAATTCACCATCAGCACTTTCTATAATTTACCATCAGTACTTTCTATAATTTACCATCAGTACTTTCTATAATTCACCATCAGCACTTTCTATAATTCACCATCAGTACATTTTATAATTTACCATCAGTACTTTCTATAATTCACCATCAGTACTTTCTATAATTCACCATCACTACCTCTTATAATTCACCATCAGTACTTTCTATAATTTACCATCAGTACTTTCTATAATTTACCATCAGTACTTTCTATAATTTACCATCAGTACATTTTATAATTTACCATCAGTACTTTCTATAATTCACCATCAGTACTTTCTATAATTCACCATCACTACCTCTTATAATTCACCATCAGTACTTTCTATAATTCAGCATCAGTTCTTTCTATAATTCACCATCAGTACTTTCTATAATTCACCATCAGTACTTTCTATAATTCACCATCAATACTTTCTATAATTCTATAATTCAGCATCAGTTCTTTCTATAATTCACCATCAGTACTTTTTATAATTCATCATCAGTACTTTTTATAATTCATCATCACTACTTCTTATAATTCACCATCAATACTTTCTATAATTCTATAATTCACCATCAGTTCTTTCTATAATTCACCATCAGTACTTTCTATAATTCACCATCAGTACTTTCTATAATTCACCATCAGTACTTTCTATAATTCACCATCAGTTCTTTCTATAATTCACCATCAGCACTTTCTATAATTCACCATCAGTACTTTTTATAATTCACCATCAATACTTTCTATAATTCTATAATTCACCATCAGTTCTTTCTATAATTCACCATCAGACTTTCTATAATTCACCATCACTACCTCTTATAATTCACCATCAGTACTTTCTATAATTCAGCATCAGTACTTTCTATAATTCACCATCACTACCTCTTATAATTCACCATCAGTACTTTCTATAATTCAGCATCAGTTCTTTCTATAATTCACCATCAATACTTTCTATAATTCTATAATTCACCATCAGTTCTTTCTATAATTCACCATCAGTACTTTCTATAATTCACCATCACTACCTCTTATAATTCACCATCAGTACTTTCTATAATTCAGCATCAGTTCTTTCTATAATTCACCATCAATACTTTCTATAATTCTATAATTCACCATCAGTTCTTTCTATAATTCACCATCAGACTTTCTATAATTCACCATCAATACTTTCTATAATTCACCATCAGTACTTTCCATAATTCACCATCAGTACTTTCTATAATTCACCATCACTACCTCTTATAATTCACCATCAGTACTTTCTATAATTCAGCATCAGTTCTTTCTATAATTCACCATCAGTACTTTCTATAATTCACCATCAGTACTTTCTATAATTTACCATCAGTACTTTCTATAATTTACCATCAGTACATTTTATAATTTACCATCAGTACTTTCTATAATTCACCATCAGTACTTTCTATAATTCACCATCAGCACTTTCTATAATTTACCATCAGTACTTTCTATAATTTACCATCAGTACTTTCTATAATTCACCATCAGCACTTTCTATAATTCACCATCAGTACATTTTATAATTTACCATCAGTACTTTCTATAATTCACCATCAGTACTTTCTATAATTCACCATCACTACCTCTTATAATTCACCATCAGTACTTTCTATAATTTACCATCAGTACTTTCTATAATTTACCATCAGTACTTTCTATAATTTACCATCAGTACATTTTATAATTTACCATCAGTACTTTCTATAATTCACCATCAGTACTTTCTATAATTCACCATCACTACCTCTTATAATTCAGCATCAGTACTTTCTATAATTCAGCATCAGTTCTTTCTATAATTCACCATCAGTACTTTCTATAATTCACCATCAGTACTTTCTATAATTCACCATCAGTACTTTCTATAATTCACCATCAGTACTTTCTATAATTCTATAATTCACCATCAGTACTTTCTATAATTCACCATCTACTTTTTATAATTCACCATCAGTACATTTTATAATTTACCATCAGTACTTTCTATAATTCACCATCTACTTTTTATAATTCATCATCAGTACTTCTTATAATTTACCATCAGTACTTTTTTTAATGGAAAATAAGTGATATTGTTTAGGGATGTGTTGGTATAAAAGAGAGTAACCATTGTTACGTGCAACAGTATATCATCAAACTACCATCTCAAACTTAAAATTCATAGATTTATGAACAGCAAGTACATTTCCCATCAAAACTAAATATCAGTTCCTTACATGATATTATTAACTTTACCTCTCCAAAGGGGGAGATGTAAAATCTTTTGGTCAGAAATTCAGTTAAGAATGGCTTTTCCATTCAAGAAGAGTATTTGAACCTAACATTTATGTATTTGAAGAAGATCTTTAAAATTTCAATTTCACCCTTTTGACCTACTCATCAGTTTTAATTAATTTTCCTACATAAACCAAAGTAAATTTCCTAGTCAGGTGAAAATGAGAGATCCTTGAACTGTGAAATCCACATTTTTGGTATAGTACCCAGAGATTCTCCAATCAATAATATTTTATTCTTCCATATGTGGGTCATGAGATAATTCTAAAAATTTCTTGAAATATTATTTATAATATTTATCAAGTTGTGAGACTAATTAACAAAGAATCTAATTCTTTGAAGCCCAATCACACTTTCCAACTTTCCATTATCGTCTGCCGTAAGCCACCATTAAACTAGTGTAGTCCAATTTTCAGCTGTAGTTGTTTCAACATTCCTATCATTAACTTACCATTCCAAACTGCAGGTTTCACTTACACAAGACTGAAGGCTATATCCCAATAGAGCTTTACACAGTATCTAAACTGTTCTAGTTACCATGGAAACAATTCATTTTACTGGAATACACTGATGTCCATGAAGTCTTATCAGTTTTCACCTCTCTTTAGTGGAATATTATGGTTTTTCCCTTTGTCCAATAAATAATAATACGTTATAACAACACATCACACAATGTTCAGACAATCAAACTGTGTTCAGACTTCACACAATGTTCAGACTTACATGAAGTTCAGATTAAATTGTTCAGATGATTATACAATCTGGTGTTAAGACAATTACATGGTGTTCAGACCATAACATCTAAATATGGTATTCAGACAATGACATGGTGTTCCGACCGTAACCTCTAAATATGGTGTTCAGACCATTACATGGTTTTCTGACTAGAACATTGCATTCAGACAAACATCTAATGTTCAGAAAATACCAAGGGGTCTAACAACTGTACAACATGCAAATACCCATGCAGTGGCTTTAGACTTTTAGGCTATTAATGTGATAGGCTTGTAGACTTTAAGGCTATAGATGTGATAGGCTTGTAGACTTCTAGGCTATTAATGTGATAGGCTTGTAGACTTTTAGGCTATTAATGTGATAGGCTTGTAGACTTTAAGGCTATTAATGTGATAGGCTTGTAGACTTTAAGGCTATTAATGTGATAGTCTTGTAGACTTTTAGGCTATTAATGTGATAGGCTTGTAGACTTTAAGGCTATAGATGTGATAGGCTTGTAGACTTTTAGAATATCAGAACTATAATAACAGTCTCACAGATTTTTATGCTCTCTAATGCTCTT